TGAGCCTGAGGACTGATTCTTCATGCTGGGAGACCCCCAGACTGGGAAGAGGGAAGTGGCCTTAGCTACCCAGGCTGAAGTCTCATAGGTCCCTGCCCCCACTCCCTAGCCAGGAAGGAAGCTGCTGAGGCCTGAGACACAGAAGAAAAATGAATCACCCTCAGCTTAGGGGGAGGTGCCCCTTGGGGGATGAGGTCACCACTTGCCAGTTAGAGAGCAGCCCCCACTCTGTCAGGCCCTCCATATCTCTAAGATAGGCTCAGGACTCCTTGACTTCCCACCCAGAAATAACTTAGGTGGAGATGTAAAGAACCAGAACTCTTGCTATCAAACCTTTCCACTCTACCTTAGGTCCTACTTCATTCAGGAATCAGGCCTCTGGACCTCTAACTGCAACTCTGTCCTCACTAAAATCCCAAACTCCTCTGCTCTCTGGGGTCCATGTTCTCCCAGATCCACGCCTTCTACCTACTTCCTACCTGCTCTCAACTCTTTGAGGTGTCAGAAACCTGCCTTTGCAGAAAATGCCCCCTTTGACTCAGTTCAAGGGTGGAAAACTGGGTTTGGGGGGATGCTGTGTGTGTGTGTGTTGTGACTATGCAGAACACAGCTGGGCCTGGTAGTAGGAAATGCAGAGAATGGTCTGGGGAAGGGGATGAGATATACCAGGCCTAACCTTGGGGTGGGGGTTGCTTTTCAGGCTGGCAGTGATGGGGCCAAGATTGGGAACTGCCCCTTCTCCCAGAGACTGTTCATGGTGCTCTGGCTCAAGGGAGTCACCTTCAACGTCACCACTGTTGACACCAAGAGGTGGGCCCACTTTTGTACCTTTAAACATTTCTTGCACACACATTTGCACACACAAATACCCACTCACCTACCCAAGTCCTTCCATCTAGAACCTTTTCCCCCTTCACCTGAAGTCCCTTTATCTTCCCACATCCCTCCATCTTCCCTTTCTTCTTCTCCTTGCCCCCTTTTCCTGTCCTGATGCTTGACCTCTTCCTCCAGGCGGACCGAGACAGTACAGAAGCTGTGCCCAGGTGGGCAACTCCCATTCCTGCTGTATGGCACCGAAGTGCACACAGATACCAACAAGATTGAGGAATTTCTGGAGGCTGTGCTGTGCCCTCCCAGGTATAGGGACACTCAGAAAGGAAAGCTGGGGAGCTGGAAGATTCTGAGAAAGAAAGTGGTTGAAGAAATCAAAGTCAGGAGTGGTGATCCGGCTAGAGCAGGGGAGCTGAGCCTCCTCTCAGGAAGTGGTCTTACTCTGTTTTTCTCATTGGCTCTTAGGTATCCAAAGCTGGCCGCTCTGAACCCTGAGTCCAACACAGCTGGACTGGATGTATTTGCCAAATTTTCTGCCTACATCAAGAATTCAAACCCAGCACTCAATGATAGTGAGTCTTGTGGGTCTGAGGTCTGGATCCTATGAGGAATAGAGGAGATCCAGGGGGTTGGGAGACAGCAGAAGCACCTAGAAGTTCAAATATAAAGGTATCAGGAAGATAGAAGGGATGTTGACTAAACTTCCCCCTCTCTGATTTTTGCTTAGCCCTTTTACTTCCCTGCATTCTCATTGGCCATGACTTTTAAACATCTCTCATTTGTTTCCTAGCCTCTTGGTCTCTGTTGTAGGACATTAGTTGGCTGCTGGACTGCTTTCTAGCAGAATAGCATTGTACTTAAGAACAATGACTAGATCCAGATTACTTGTGTCCAAATCCAACTAGCTTGGGCAAGTTATTTAACCTTCTATAAATCCATTTCCAGATCTATAAAATGAAGATAGCAATAGCTATTTCATAGGTTGTTGTAAGAGTTAAGTGACTTTTTATATGTAAAATGGTCAAAGTAACTTAGATTATATCAGGGCTAGTTATTATTTTGATCTGACCTCACCATTATTATCTATTCCCCCTTGGACCTTCTTGCATTGCCTAGGTAGGGCTTATTCCCAATGTGCTAATCAAGTCTTCTCTTGCACAGATCTGGAGAAAGGGCTCCTGAAAGCCCTGAAGGTTTTGGACAATTATTTGATAGCCCCCCTCCCCGAAGAAGTAGATGAGACCAGTGCCGAGGATGAGGGCATCTCTCAGAGGAAGTTTCTGGATGGCAATGAGCTCACCCTGGCTGACTGTAACCTGTTGCCAAAGCTCCACATTGTGCAGGTGAGTGCTCAATGTGAAGAGAGGATCCTGTTCAATGTGAAGAGAGGATCTAGATTGGTTCTTTAAGGAACAGTGTAGTTACATGACAGTTAATCCAAAAGTGGCTTCTGCTTGGGGTGGTTTCCATAGATTGCCATCAATGACAGACCCCACCCAGTCCTTCTTGGCAGTCATTGCTGGCAAGACCGCTGCTTGAAAGGATTACATTCCATGATACAAACTGTAGGTGCAAAAAGATTGCCCAAAAGTAATCCATCCCAGTATTACTTTCAAGAATGTTCTTCCTGTATCCATATCATCGCCAAATCCCTAAATCAGACAGAGCAGGCTTTTCCTGAAGTCAAAGCTTTACCTTTCTTTGCAGCTTCAGTCTCCACTTCCTCTTGTGGAAGTTGAAAAACTACTGGTTACCATTTTTTGTTATGACCCCAAAGCTATGAGTTAGTTTTTGAAATATGGGCCCAGTGTCAGTCTGCCACATAACTATATACTGAACAAATCTGCTATGTACTATGCACTGAAAGATACAAAGATCTTGAAATCTAGGTAAGATAAAGCATTCACATGAAAGTTAATAATACATATTTCACAGCCAAATAAAGAAGAGACAAAAATCACTGGAAATTCTCTCAAGAGGAGAATTTTAATGGCATGTAAATAATGTAGTATCGCAATAAAAATTAAAATCAAGAGAAAAGTAACATCCTGAAAAGGGTGGTCCGGAAAGGGGCTAGCTATAAATGGCTGGAGTTCCAGTAAGTGGGAAGGAAGGGTGAAAACATTGCAAGACTGTGAGGCATTAAGATGACTGAAGATGATGATTCTTGTGAGAGGTTAGAAACAATAGGAAAAGAAGTCAGAGGTTCTTGAAAACCTGGATAAGAAGGCTAGATTTTATCATGTAGGTTGTGGGAGAAGGGGAAGACTATCAATATGACAGCCAATGTGGTTACCTAGGACTAACATGTTGGTCCCTCCTCTCCTACCCCTAGGTTGTATGTAAGAAGTACCGGGGATTCTCCATCCCAGCACAGTTTCGGGGAGTGCATCGGTACTTGCACAATGCATATACTCGGGAAGAATTCGCTTCTACCTGTCCAGATGATGAGGAGATTGAGCTGGCCTATGAGCAAGTTGCGAAAGCCCTCAAATAAGCCCCTCTTTGGGCTCCATCACCTCCCTCTTGTTTCTCTACAAAGGTGGTTTCCAAATGGCTACCCAATGGACATACTTCAAAATGGCCAGTGGGCCCTTGTACAGGGCTGGCTAGGGGGTGAGGGGAAAGGTTGGGAGACCTGAGTGCGATTTTTATTGTGGGGTTGGGTGGGTAGGACAACGTATTTCAGTAATAAAATACAGAATGAAAATCTACTGGTGTTTTACACAAAGGGAACTTGAAGTATGGGTGATATGAAATGTGATGTGTGTCAATGACTTTGCACTCAAGCCAGGGATTAAGATGAGGGGTATGTGCTTGTGGTGGGGCTGTCATTTTCAGTGTGAGCTGAAAAGCAGGATACTGCCCGTCCCCCCAAGCACAGCCCAGTGGTCCATGCCGTGTTTGCAGCCCCGCCGCCAGGGCCAGCTTGCTAGCTCTGGGTGGGCCCAAGCTGCGCTCATTGGGCGGGGCCTGAGTCTTGGGAAGGGGGATTCTGTTTCCGTGAAATGGGCGTGGCTTATCGGGGCGGAACGGGCGTGGTCTCTGAGAGCCCTGCCCCGTCCCGCTTAGACAATGCCCGGGAGCCGCCAGACCGTCGCGCCCCCGCCTGATCGGAGTATGTGAACTAACCTACCCCAGTGCCCCTCAAAATTCAGAGCTTCCAGTCCCCGAGGCTAGACTAGGACTCCCTTCTCCATCAACTCTGGCCTCGAGAGGGAGGGAACCGAGCTGAAATCGCAACACAGAAGGAGGGTGGGTGGCCGCTGGAGGTGAGTCTGGGGAAAAGGGTCTCCTAGACGGTGTGGGGACCGGAACTTTGATTCTTGGGGTTACTGGGCCCACGGCTGCACCAGACGAAGAGTGCAGGGGACCAGTATCTGTATGTGGAGCTTTTGCCGGGTGGACTTGGGATAGGTGGATCAAGGGACTGGCTCCTGGAACCCGGAGTAGCACCCACTCCCCGGAACCACGCCCCCCGGAACCACGCCCCTCATCTCGTTTTCAACCTCTCCCAATCTCCAGGGACACGGTCTGGTTTTTACTGGGTCGCGCTGGGGGCAGCTTGAGCAGCCGGGTGGAGAGAGGATGTTTAACTCTTTACGCGCTATATCTTCTTCCCGGCCCTCTTCTTCCTTTCTTGCTCGGGTATCCAGGACTTCCATCCCCAGGCCTTGGATCTCACCCTGTCTCCTCTGTCCTATAACCTCTGTGGGTCCCTTGCCGGACTTCAGGTCCTTCTGGCGTGAGCAGTTGAGGGTTAAGGGGGTGGGAACGCTACATTTTTGGGGAGTGAGCGCATCCTAGTGGCTGCCAGGAGGGGCGCCCAACAGGAACCTCGCGAAGCCCCCAGAGCAGGGACAACAGGTGTTTTGGAAACCAGGGGTCTGGGTTCTGTTAGTTGGACTTTCTCCAAAGCAGCAGACTGGCGAGGGCACGAGGTGGAGGGGGGTTGGCAAAAGGAGGCGGTGTAGAATGGGTGGGACGAGTGGGAGGGGCTCTTGGAGATGGTAAGACGATGACCTAGGCATTCTTAACCGGCCCCTATGCCCCTCTCTGCTTGTCTCTTTCTCTGCTTCCCCCCTTTCTGCTGCTCCTTCAAGACAGGTGAAGTAAAAAGAGAAAACTAAGCAATCAGCGTTGCCGGAGGAGGCGTCGGTGTGGATGGGATGGGGACACAGGGAGAAGGGCTGGGCCGCTGCTCCCATGCCCTGATCCGGGGAGTCCCAGAGAGCCTCGGGTCTGGGGAAGGGGCGGGGGCTGGTCTCCCAGCACTGGACCTGGCCAAAGCTCAGAGGGAGCACGGAGTGCTGGGGGGTAAACTGAGGCAGCGACTGGGGCTGCAGCTGCTAGAACTGCCATCTGAGGAGTCGTTGCCGCTAGGACCACTGCTTGGTGACACGGCTGTGATCCAAGGGGACACAGCCTTAATCACGCGGCCCTGGAGCCCCACTCGCAGGTCGGAGGTGAGTGCCAGGGAGTGGGTAGGAGGGTAAAGAGCTGGAGGAGCTAGAAATCCCAGGGTTTAGGGAAGAAATGGGAGACTGGGGCGTCACTAAGCTTCATGCCCTTCTCTTTGCCTGCCCCAAGGTGGATGGAGTCCGGAAAGCCCTCCAGGACCTGGGACTCCGAATTGTGGAGATGGGGGATGAGAACGCGACGCTGGATGGCACTGATGTTCTTTTCACTGGTGAGGTTGGGGTGCTGGCACACCCAGCTTCTTCTGACACTGGGAAACAAAGTGGGAGACTGGACCATCTCTGGCCTTGGTTCCAACTCACTCTCACTCTCAAACCTCCATGACCTCCTGGCTCAGGCCGGGAGTTTTTCGTAGGCCTCTCCAAATGGACCAATCACCGAGGAGCTGAGATCGTGGCAGACACATTCCGGGTGAGGAGCTGGCCCAGCTTGCAGCGGTGGAGCAGGGACCCACTGAGGAGGGGGAGCCTAAGAATAGCATTCCTTTGTGGTCATCCTCTATCCTTGTACCTCTAAACACCGTCCTTTATTCTCCCTAGGACTTCGCAGTCTCCACAGTGCCGGTCTCGGGTCCCTTGCACCTGCGTAACTTCTGTGGCATGGGAGGACCACGCACAGTAGTAGCTGGCAGCAGTGAAGCTGCCCAAAAGGCTGTCAGGGTGAGAAGGGTGGGGCTATGACGAGATTGGGCACGGTCAATGAATTTGGGCGTAGCCCGGGAGACGGGGAGCTGGGGTAATTTAGAGAATTAGACCTGGCCTCAAGGAGCTGTCCATCTAGTGGGAAAGAACTCTCAAGTAAACAAGAAATTCGAATAGCTGTAGAGGGCTCTAGGAGGTCGCAGAACAGAGGCAATAAACTTCTGCTGAGTTTCAGGAAACTCCCCAAAGGTAGTATCTAAGATGTGACTTGAAGAATGGGTGGGACAGACAGGTGGGGTATAGAGAAGGGGAGAAGAGGGTTGGAGGTTTAAAACAAAAGCATGTAAATTCTGCCTCATGGAACAGCAAGACTCAACCTGTTTCAATATATATTCATCACCATTTTCAAATGCAAGGGTTGGAGATAAGGTAGCATTCGCCACTTTATCTTTTTTGTTCTTAATCCAATTAAAATTCCCTGTATCTAAAATGTTGCCTTTTAATTAACAAAACGCTTATCAATGTGGTTTGTGTATGGTATTGTTGTTATGTGCTGTTCTGACTCATAGTGACCCTGTACAGGGTTTCTGAGGCTGTAAATCTTTACGGGAGCAGAAAGCCTTATCTTTCTCCTTGGAACAGTTGGTAGTTTCGAACTGCTGACCGTGAGATAAGCAGCCTGATTCATAACCGCTATGCTACCTGAGCTCCTTGTGTATGATATTAAATAATGAATATTTAACACACACACACAAAAAAAAGCATATGAATTTGAGGTGGTTATTGTGTGCCCTGGTGTGGCACTGTAGGATAAGCACTGGACTGCTAACCAAAAGGTTGGCAGTTCAAACCCACCAGCCACTCCTTAGAAATCCTATACTTGACAGTACTTAATAACAACAACATTGTGTACCCTAGAGCCTATTCCAACTCACAGTGACCTATAAGACAGAGTAGAACTCCTATAAGCGTTTCCTAGGTTGTAATCTTATGATATTTGCTGATGGGTTCTGATCCTCAGATCTTTCCATTAACAGCTGAGTGCCTTAACCACTGCAACACAGCTTTTTAAATTCAAGGTGGAAATTGATAAATGTAATTAAAACACTTAGCAAAGTGGCCAGCAATAGTATGTACTATGTTCTTGCTGTCATTATTATTCCACAAATGTAACTCAGACAGACTGATTTGCAGAGTTCTGAGATTTGAAGGCTTCATCATCTCTCTCCATCCATCTCTCTCCTAGGCAATGGCAATGCTGACTGATCACCCCTACGCCTCCCTGAGCCTTCCAGATGACGCAGCAGCTGACTGTCTCTTTCTTCGTCCTGGGTTGCCCGGTGCATCCCCATTCCTCCTGCACCGTGGAGGTGGGGACCTACCCAACAGCCAGGAGGTGAGGGAGAGCAGGATCCCCACCAACACTACTATCAAGCAGGAAGGCGTCAAAGCAGGCCTTAGTGGTGGGAGGACAGAGGGGTGAGGTACCTTCACTAGAAACTTAGGTGGGGTAACTCTGAGCTGACTGGAAGTAGGGCCTAGCTCTGGCCTCAGAGTCTTACCCTCCCTCTATTGTGCCCTCCCTGCAGGCACTGCAGAAGCTCACTGATGTCACCCTGGTTCCTGTGTCCTGCTCAGAACTGGAGAAGGCAGGCGCTGGGCTCAGCTCTCTCTGCCTGGTGCTCAGCACACGTCCCCACAGCTGAGGCCTGGCCCTGGGTCGTGGCTGGCACGGGGTTGGGAAGCAGCACGAGTAGGATTTTTAGGAGAGGATTTTTAGATAGAGGATGGTGAGTAGGTAATAGTGGAAAAAGGGCCCCAAGATGGGGGCAGGGCATAGTGTAAGAAAAAAGATAGGGGCCACTGGATAAGTCCTCTCCCCAAGAAACAATAAAATAGAACTGACCTTTTAGACTGTGGCTGCTGTCTTATGGGGCCAGAGGGATAGGGGCAGGATTGAAATCTGAGGTTGGGAACAGTGCTGGGAAGGAGGCTTCTCATGAAACAAATCTTCTTCATTAGGTACTTATTCATTGTCCAGCCCTGTCATAGGTGCTTGGGTGAAAGATGAACAAGACAGAACCTCTCTTGTGGAGAATGTGTCTGGGGCATAGAAGGGAGAACATAAACAGATCACACTCTGAATTTATCTAAATGTCAGATGACTCAGACAAGGGTTGATTACCAGTCTGCCCAGCTTGATAGGAAGAAGAATGATGCATCCAGGGACGTTCACTTCCATTCACTCATTTATTAAGGCATGTTGTTGTTGTTAAGTGCTGTCGACTCGGTTCCGACCCATAGCGACCCTGTATAGGGTTTCCGAGGAGAAGCTGGTGAGCTTGAACCGCCGACCTCGCAGTTCAAATGGCTTTGCAGTTTGGCGCATTAACCCACAGCGCCACACAAGGGATAGCAGTCATATAAAAAGAGTCAGTCCCCTGATGTGAGGGAATTCAGTTGCAAATTGAAATACACTGTTGTAATGGAACAATTCATATGAGGGTGTTGCTATGAGAAAAATAAGGGACTCCCTGAGGCATCAGAATGTATGAAGAGGTATGGCAAGGAAGGTCAGAAAAGGCTTCAAGAAAGGTTACATTTGAACTGAGTCTTTAGATAAATAAGAATTAGGCAAGTAGCAGGAAGAAAGAAACAAGATATTCCAGAAAGAAGGAATTGCATCGACAAAGGAGATTGGGGAATTTAGGAAAATTGCTCTAAAGCTGGCATGTTGTATCCATGCGGGGTAGTGACAGGATGAATTTAGAGAGTGAACAGTCCTGTAGCACCTTATACATAAATCTAAGGACCATGAGCTCGGAGCTGAAGGAGAGAAATACTGACAAAGTTCTGGAATTAGGACTGTCAGAAGCAGCTTAATAATTGGGGAGGATCTCTGACTGTAGGGAAGACAAAGGCAGGGGTGACTTAGGGATATGGGTAATGCAGGCAGGAAGTGAGAGTACGTTCAGGCATGGATTTGACAGTATAAGACAGAAACAAAGAGGACTTGGTGGCTCATTGTGTGACGATGAGGAGGGAGAAAATCCGCATGACCCCAACTTTCTGGCTTGGGCAACTGGGTTCACCAAGAGAGAATCCAGATGAGTGAGTGACTTGGGAAGTGACAAGGTATTAGACTTTGCACATGCTCTGTGTAAGATTCCTGAGACCAGTCAGGCAAGGATGTCCCAGCGACATTTTTGGAAATTCCAGATCTAAGATGTGAGCTAAAGAGAGATCAGGGTATCATTCATAAAGGTGAAGACTGAATGTCTGACTGTGAATCAGAGCTTCCTAGAAGAGAGAGAGGAGAAGAAAGAAAAACCTAGAATAGTTGGGAATGCAGTAGGTGAGGGGAAAAGGAAGATAAGTCCAAAAGTTAAGTCATCAGTTTCAAAGGAAAAAATTAAGACAATAATCTAAGTCAAACAGATTAATGCTAAACAATGTTTACAGGGTATGGCCTTAGGGAGAGCAGATGAGCAGTTTCAGCAAATGGGCAGTGGGAAGTAGAGTAGAATGAAGAAGAGAATGGAAGAAGCAGGTGGAGGACCCTGGTTCACAAAGCTTGACTGTAAAGGTAAGGGAGGAATAGGGCAACTATTAGCTGTTGATGTCCTAAAATGGATATGTAAGGTTTAGAGGCTGTGAAAGGCCACCAGTGATGAAGAGGTGGGAGTAACTGAAAGATCAATGACAGGGATAGCCTGGAACCCATCCAGTCTAATGCGCATTTCTACCCCCTGGTGCCTTTATTTTTCAGGTGAGGGGTGAGGAGATGGGAACTATGGAGAACTGTGAGCCTCAGATTGTGAAATTTGAAGTAAGGGCTTTAAACTACAACTGCATAGATGGTGGAGGCATCAGCTGGGACCTCTAGGGACAGGCGGCGAGTGCTTCTCAGGGCCATATGGTCCAGGTCCGCATAAAGCAGGCTCTGAAGGGTAGGGAGGAAGGCAGAATGGGACCAGTGATCTGAGTCCCTTGGGGATTCAGGGGTCTTCCCTCAGGGATTCTGACCAGCTCCTCTCCATCTCCTTACCGCTTCCTGATCAGGATCCTCTGGGAGCTTGGGCTCCTCCATTACTGGCCTCTGGGGCTCGGTTTTCAAGAGCGGAGCTATGTGGGGGGAACAGAACTGAGGAAGAGAGGATAACCAACTTGTCTGCTCCCAATAGGAACTGAGGGATGGAAGATATGCGGGTAGGGAAATGGGTTTGAAGTTAGTCTCACCAAATCTGGAGGGTGGTCGAAGCTGGTGCCGGGGAGAGCGCCTGAAAGGGAAGTATACAAGTTTTCCTAGAACCATCCTTTTTTTTTTCTTTTCCCTTGTTCATTCTCCAGGGTCCTAAGCCCCACCTAAGACCAGTCGGGAACTTGGCTTTGACGCACAACTCACAGTATGCTCCACCCACACAGATAGCCTTGCCCAGCGTGATCCTGTCCTCTCGCCCCCTCATTTGGCCTCGCCTCGGGCGCCGCCTACCAGGCCTGTGGCCCCACCCCAAAATTCTGACCAACTCCTTACTCCAAACCACACCCCAGTTTTCTGGTACCGCCCTTCCCACCTCTGGTCAAACTCTGTAAACGAAGTCCTGCTCCTCCAGCTCACCTGCGCAGCCACCAGGCCACGCCCAACACTCCTAGTCCCAGCGCCAACCCGGCGCTAAACAGCGGGATCAGAACCTGGGAATACAAAGGCCCTGGAAGGAAGAAGTGGGATGCCGACGTCACGGGTGCACGCAACTCAGTCTCCCACTCAGGAGCTCCCGGGCCCAGTCAAAGCCCCTTTCCTTCCCGAGGGCGTATGTCCAAATTAAGTTCAGATCCCGACTGACCATGGGGACGTCCCGCGGTCCTACAGTTGGCGGGGTCCTCCAGTACATGAAGCACCGTACGGCTCTCCTCCTCTTGTCGGCCCTTGCAGAAAAAGGTGCCCGAATCTCCCACGCTCAAGAGCAGCTCCAGCCGCCGGATGCCAGGGTCCAGGGCACGTAGGCGGCCAGTGAAAGGCTGGGCAGGGGGCACCGTGGATGTCCCGCTAGATGAGGCCCACATGATCGTGCGGCGCCCTTTGGACAAGCCCTTACAGGCTGGAAAGTTAGGTGCCCAGGTCCAGCGGATGGGGCGTGAGACTCCTACACAGGAAAGATTCACCCGGTCCCCAGGGCGACCCTCCAAGAAAGCTAAGAGAGCCGGAGGCAGTAGTTAGGGCAATTACACACCGAAAGGCGACCCCTTTCCTGTCTCCTGTCTCCAAGGCATCTGCCTTCCAGCCATCTGAGTCTTTCCCCGTCCCCTTCCAGACTCCCCTTCTCCTGCGTTAGTCTTTACTCAATCATCCCCAAGGTCCCAGACATCGCTTACCCTCCGGGTCTCCTTGAGTTCCTGAGAGCAGCAGGAGCTGCAGAACCAGGGCCATGGTTGGGATGGAGTGGGGAGAGGGAACAATGAATCAGCCTGGGAGACCGGAAGAAGTGGGGAGCAGGGGGCCGGCGGGGCTCAGATAAGAGCAGGGGCAGGGCTAGCCGTTGTCCTAATCCCTTCGGAATGGGATCCTCACAGGTTCACTCACAGTTCTCAAACGGTTGTTGTTAAGTGCCTTCATGTCTGTTCCTACTCAGAGTGACTCCGTATAGGGTTTTCAAGGAGCTGCTGGTAGGGCTGAACCTGCATCCTTGCAGTTAACAGTTAAGTGTTTATCCTACAGCAGCACACCAGGACTCAAACAATGGTCACTTAAAATCTGTCCTTTGCCCATTTATACCAGCACTTTCCCTTACTTTACTACTGAAACTTAACATGTATTCTGGGGCCTGGCTGTCTGAGTTCAAGTCCTGTCACTGCTATCTACTAGCTGTGTGATGTGGGCAAGTCTCAACTTCTTTGGGCTTCTTTTGTCATCTGCTAAACGGAGGTAACAGCACTTAATTTCATAGAATATTGTTGTGAAGATTTCATAAATGAATACCTGCAAAACACTCCTATGTGGCTGACACATAGAAGGGTTATTTAAGTATTCATCATTATTATTACTATTAACCAATCAGTCAATTGCCACTCAGGTGGGATGGTGGAGCACAAAAGGAGACTTATGGTTACCCCATGTATCAGAGGACTATGCTCCATAGCATTTTCAGTGGCTACTTTTTTGGAAGCAGATTGCCAGGCATTTGTTTTGAGGTGCCTCTGGGTAGGTTTGGAGCCTACAGCTGGGTTAGCAAGCAAGCCTGCTGGTTAACTGTTAGTTAATCATCCAGGGATTCCATGATTACAATTGCTGTGTTTATTTTGGAATCCTGGCGTAGTACCGTACTGCCAACTGCAAGGTTGCTGATTCAAACCCACCCATCACTCCTCGGAAACCCTATGCAGAGTCACTATGAGTCTGAACTGACTCAAAAACACTTAACAACAATTCTTATTTTCCCTTCTACCTCATCTCTCTGTGCCCAAGCTGCTCCTCCCAGCTGCATTGCCCCACCCAAGCCAGCTGACTTTGGTTGAGTTGGCACCCTTTGGTGCACACAATACACATCCAGGATTTCAACAATCTTTATTGGAGCAAAGTGACTGAGGCCAGACCAACCCCAAGTCTCCCTAGGGGGGATCCCAAGAAAACTTTGGGGAGCCTGAGGTAGTTCCACCTTAACAGGTGGGCTGTGGATCCCCTAGACCCCCAGGCCCAGCCCACACTTCTGCTAAGACTTCACAGAAATCCTCCAATCCTCTGTGAAGTCATAAACCCCTGGGGCTGCGGAAGGGTTGGAAAGATCAGCTAGAGTGGAATTAGTATGAATTTGACCCCTCCCATTTGGAGTCTCTGGTGTGGCACTGTGGGCTAATGAGTCAGACTGTATAGTCATTTGAACTGCAAGGCTGGTGGTTCAAGCTCACCAGCTGCTCCTTGGAAACCCTATACAGGATCCCTTTGGGTCAGAACCAACTCAACGGCACTTAATATAACAACACCTTCAGTTTTTTACTTGGGCCTGCATGTCCTTGCAAGTGCCCCTCAGGGTCTCAACAGGGAATTGAATTTGGCAGCTAGCTTGGACTGCACCCTATTGTCCACTTCCCAGGAATCGGCAGAAGCCACCACCATGGTCACTGCAACATTTCAAAGGCTTTGGGTAACATTGGTTCAGAGGACTTGACTGGCAGGGCCCTCAGCTAAGGGCCAGTTAGGGGCATCTTGGCCTAAACCAAGAGTGAAAATGGAGTTGACACCTGCTTTCTCCTGGTCCTCTTTCCCCCCTCACTCATCACAGCTGGCTCAGCCTTTCCCCACCCCTTCTTCCCTCCCTCTGAATTGAGCTGTGTGTAAATGGAGGGAGGGACTACCAGAGGTTGAAAGGGAGGGGCCTGTGGGAATATAAACTCTCAAAAATCCACTCAACTTCAGAACAGAGCCCTGGACCTAATCTGCTGTGACTGCTACCATTCTCAGGACCCTCATCATGAAAGGCCTTCTGCTGCTTGCCCTGTCTTCTCTGTTCTGCTGGGTCTCAGGTGAGCATTTTGGGGTACAAGGAACTGGTTCATCTGACCAAGACCTTCATACCCTGCCCTACCCATTGCCTGACACTGCTTACCACTCAAGATCCCAAGTACCCCAGCCCCAATGGGCTCAGCTATCCTGGGCCTCCAAAACCATGCTTCTATCCCCAGATACCTTTCTGCCTCCAAGACCCACTCGTCTCACCTGCCACAGCTCCATACTATTGTTCTCCACCCTAAGAAGCCCATTTCTCAGAAACTCTCAGATCCAGTTTCCAGGCCAGGTCCCTACTCCACTACCCAACTTACTTTCTCCTGCTCAACAGGCTTCCAGCTCAGAAACCCAGGTGTTCAGCCTTAGTCTCCTTTTTCACCCCACCCTCCCACCTCCTCCATTAGTCCTTCAGCCCAGGCCTGTTCTATAGTCTCCCCTAATCCTCCCTGGGTCACACATATCCCACTTCTGTATTAGGGTCACAATTTCCCACATCTTGCTAAAGACTGAAGTGACTTTCTTGATAGTTCTCTTCACAAGTAACCTTTTAGAACCTCCCAGGGAGACTTCGTGAGGTTTCTAGTACAGGGCTATCAGGGTTTGCTCACAGTCAGGCACCCCACCCTAGAAGCCAGAATGGTCTTCAGTGAAGTATACTCACAAGGCTCCTCCACCTTTCCTTCCCCAAACCTTGAATTAGTGGAGAAGGCAACTTTGGAGTGCCACCATCTGCACCTACCTTCTCTATCCTGGTAAGGTAGTAGGATAAAATCTAATCATATGTTTTCCAGATGTTATTCCTTTCTGCCAGAGCTGCTGGGGTGAGCGGATCCCATTCAGGTGTGGCTCCTCTTCCCACGCTCTTGGCAACCCCAGGGTAAAGAGTATGTTCCTAAAGTTGTCCATAAATGACTTTTCCTTCAGCCTCAAGTTCTCAGACATTGCTGCCAGTGTTGTAACCCCCATGATTTTCATATTTAAAATCATTTCCTCCCCTGCAGTTTTCATCTCCATCTTTGTCCACTTCTGAATTCCTTCATCTTCTCCCTTACCTCCCTCCCCTCAGTCCTTCCAAGCGGTATCCCCACATTCCATTCTATTCCCAATCCCAAATTTGTGTTAGGAGCTCTACCCCTTTTGACTCATTCCCAAATGGCATAGAGTGAAAGAAGGTATTTAGGGTGTGAGCCTTTCACAAGACAACAACTCCACCCTTGTCTGCCTCCTACTTTACACTTTCTCGCTTATTCACCTGCTCTGTCCCAACCCTACCAAACTAGTCCCAGTGCTTATGTGATTGGCTTTTCTCCACCTGCACTTGGCTACCCACAGTGAATCAAATACTCCATCTTCTCAGCCTAACTTGTGTCTTCCCAGCTGACATTCGCTGTCACTCCTGCTATAAGGTCCCCGTGCTTGGCTGTGTGGACCGGCAGTCCTGCCTCCTGGAGCCAAACCAACAATGCCTGACAACGAATGTGTACCTCGGTAACAGCCCCTTCTTCAGTGGGGACAAGGGGCAACTGGCAGACTCCATGGAAGGGGCTAGGATTAAGGTTGAGATTGAACAGAGAATTACAATGATGATATTTGGCCAAGGACTATTACATGCCAAGCAGAACTAACTGTTCTAAGTCTTTACATGGATTGTTCCAATTATTGTTCCTAACCACCCTATGATGTGGGTACTATTATTATACAAAGGAAACTGAGCTTCAGAGAAAGATAGTTCCAAGACCTCACGGTCAGCAAGTGATGGCACAAGAATTGGGAGGTGGGGATGGAGTAAGGAAATGCAGAAGGAAGATTAGACTGAGAAATGATATAGAAGAAGAAGGACAAGGAGAGGGTTACGAAGGAAGGAAGCCTGGGTATATGTATGGGGTGAGGTGGGGGACACAGGCTTGCCAGGTGCCTATCCCAGCTGACCCTCTGCCCACTCCTACCCCTAGGTAAGATGTGGGTTTTTTCCAATCTGCGCTGTGGCACACAGGAAGAGCCCTGTATTGAAGCCTACAACCAAACTAGCCACAGACTGGGCCTCACCTATAACACCACCTGCTGCAGGAAGGACAACTGCAACAGCCCAGCCCCCCGGCCCACCCCCGTCCTGGCCCTTCTTCTTACCTCCCTGGCTGGCCTTGGCCTCTGGCTACTGCACTGAGACTCACTTGGTGACCACCCCTCCTCCCAGTTGCCTCAGCCTGAGCTTCCTTCCTGGGTCTCCATTTCCCCTGGTTTCCCAGAATGGTCTCTCCCTATCTTTTTTTGCTGTTTTGTTAGACACTGCATGCCCCCAACCCCGCCAATGATCTAGCTATTTGGCTCTCCCACTGCCCACCCTGCTTTTATCCACTCCATTCCCAATTCTAAGGAGTCCGGGTGGTGCTGTGAATTAAGTATTGAATGGCTAATACTAGGTCAACCGTTCAAACCTACCAGCTGTTCTTGCTCATGCAAAATTTAGTCTCAGAAACCCCAAAGAGCAGCTTTACTCTGTCCAATAGGGGAATAGGGTCAATCTGAGTAGAAATTGACTCAACAGCAATGAATTTGGGGTTTGGTTTTGTTTTTTAAATTCCCATTTCCCTTCTGGACCACTCCAGATTGTCCAGGGGCCCCTTGAAGGGTCCCCCCTTTGCCTTCTGTACCCTATCCTGCTCCACTAGGGGAGCAATGGGGCCAAGGCCTGAAATGGGGCTTCTATGTTACAAATCGGGCTGTGAACCATAAGGTCAGCGGTTCGAAACTACCAGCCGCTCCGCGGGAGAAAGATAAGGCTTTCTACTCCCGTAAAGATTTACACCCTCGGAAACCCTGTTACAGGGTTGCTATGGGTCGGAACCAACTCGATGGCACTTAACAACAACAACAACATGCTATTCCCAAGGAAGGGTGTGCTAGCCTCACCTCATGGGACTGATTCCCCAAACCTTGGCTCCTCACATGGACTCCCAGCCCCATGCTCACCTCTTTCCAGTTTGAATAATAAACATATATGTCTGAAAAATTGTGCATTTTTTGTCAGTTCACCTGTCAGGCACCCGCCCATGGAATAACCCAATCTCCATTACAATGTTTTCATTCCCTGTCTCGCACCCAAGATTATCCTTCAAGGAGTTTCCCCGAGCAAGCTGACCTGGGGTGGCTGGAGGAACAGGTCTAGCAGGCCTCCATTTTCCCTTCCAGCACATGGCAAAGACACACAGGCCCCAGTGTTTGGAGAAACAATCCTTATCCCAAATTTAGGCCACACCTTTGTTGTGCTGCCAAGAAGACAATGCAGTCTGGCTTGAAGGCTCTCCAGAAAGGGTAGGAGAGTTAGATGGAGATGGTGCCAGGAGCCTCTTCCAGGTCTCAGTCCCACAGGTTAAAGCCAAAGGCTTCACCTGTCAAGGTTTATTAAGTGGGACACCAAGCAACTCTCCTATCACAGTGCTTACATTTCCTTTCTAAATTCAGAATACTCCTATCAGATGGCTGTTTATAAATGGAAGGTGGTAAAGAGGGGACTAAGCACAGACAACCAGCCTCAAGGAGTCCTCATGATCTCCACTCCAAGTCTGGAACCTGCTTGCTCAATGGCTCTCGTTGCTAAGAAAGATTGCCCCTCGCAACAAGATGGTAGCAGGGTCAGTGAGTCACTTAGAGCAGATTCCCCTATGTCCTTTGTGGTTTAATTGGTTAAAAAGTCCACTGAGGTTTGGTAGCCCCTAAACTAGAACATGGATGCCTCCACAGAACCACTGTAGAGCTCCAGACAACAAAAGACAGGTGGAATTTTCCAATCAGCTGTGGAGTGGTTGGTAAATTTTAATGGCACACAGAGAAGTGTGTGTTTTCACCTTAGATGTCCAGATCTCCCTCACTCCCTTCCCTACCACTGCCCTCGCCATAGCCCTGGCAAGAGCCAGGCTAGAGCAGTGGCTGTTACAGCCAGGATGGATGCCGGGACTGCTTTGATTGTCACAGAGCTGTTGCATAGGTCTCCGAAGCAGCAGTCCCTGTGGGTTGTGTAAGTCACGTCTCCCACCAGCTCTGTCTCCACTTGATTGCAATGATGGGCTGCCACGCAGGCTGGATGATGATGGATCACGGTCACTGAGGCTGAGAAAATGAGACTGGAGTGTTGAACCCTGGCTTGAGGGTTTGCTTTCTGGGGTAGAGCAGATGTGATTTCAGGAAGCCCAAAGGGATTCTCTGCCCCCCTCAAAAAATACCTCCCTGGAACCAAGTGATCAGAGTCAACACCGACATTGTGAACCTCCTGATAAGATGCACTGAGACAGACACAGCATCACAAACACAATCATGCACTGTTGAATGACCTCAGTCAAATCATGAGAAAGTATTGGAGTCACCTGAATGAGAGACATTCTATAAAATAACCTATCAAGACCCTTCAAAAGTGCCAAGGTCACAAAAGACAAAGGCTGAGAACTATCACAGATTGATGGTTGATGGTTATGTGCCGTGGAGTCGGTTCCAACTCATAGCAACCCTGTACAGGGTTTCTGAGAATATAAATCTTTATGTGAGCAGAAACCTTCATCTTTCTCCTGCAGAACAGCTGGTAGTTTCAAACTGCTGACCTTAAGGTTCACAGCCCGATTTATAACTACTACGCTATTGGAGGAGACTAAAAAGATACGATAATTAAATGCAATATGGCGCCTGGACCAAAGAAGAGACCGTAGTGGAAACCCAAAAGCCCATTGCCATGATTTCAACTCATGGTGGCCCTGTAAGACTGAATCGAACTGCTCTGTAAAGTTTCCATGACTGTATATCTTTATAGAAGTAGCCTCATCTTTCTCTCTTGGAGAGGCTGATGAGTTCGAACCACGAACTTTGTGATTAGCAGCCTAATGCTTAACCTACAGTGCTACGAGAGCACCTAGTGGAACAACTGGCTAAATAGAATAAGATTAGCTATAGTATTGCATCAATATTATTTTCTTATTTTAATAACCGTACTATGGTTATGAAGTCCCTGGGTGGTGTAAATAGTTAACACACTTGGCTGCTAATCAAAAGACTGGTTGGAGGTTTGAATGTACCCAGAAGCGTCGTACTCTATCTCCAAAAAGTCAACCACTGAAAACCTTGCATAACACAGTCTGCTCTAACATTCATGGGATTGCCATGAGTTGGCATCAACTCAATGGCAAATGATTTGGTTTGGTTTGATTTTTCAGCAGCTAACCAAAAGGTCAGCAGTTTGAACCGTTCCAGAGAAAGATGGGGTAATCTGCTTCCATTAAGATTATATTATTATAACCTATACTCTTTCACGTGTTGGGATATGTTGTTTTGGCTGCAGTATGTGAAAAAGAAATCCAGTCTCACACAAACATCAGCTGAGTAAGGAAGACACTTGAGGTTTCTTCAAAACGGTTTTAGAGACTTGAAATCAACTCAATGGTACTCAACAACAACAACATGATTAAATAGGACGTTAATATTAGGGAAGCTGGTTGAAAGATATACAGAAACCATACTATCTTTGCAACTTTCTGTCAATCTAAAAGTATTTCAAAATAAAATATTAAAACATACATACCTCCCTAGTCTTTAGTTGATGCCTGAAATTTGAAGTTCGGTTTTGGTTTAATATTTGGATTCCTGCATTCCAGAGACAGAGCTTTTTCGATCATTTGTACTTAAGTGAATGGGCCTGTAAGATACTTTCTGGACAGTAAAGAGGAGAGGGGTGGAGTACAAGGACCCTGGGCTTCTGAGAGGCTCAGTGCCAGGAGCCAGAAGGGACTTAGAGACTGCTCTACTTGGACAGTGTAGTCACCATCTGTCCAGAGCCAGACTGAGCCGAGAAGCCAGAGGATTGGAGGGAAATGGGGCCTGGAGGCAGGAAAGGGCTAGAGAAGAGAGAGAAACAGGACTTACGGTTTCCAGAACGTTTCATCTGCCCCGATTCTAAATGGGGTCGGCGGTCAAGGAAGCCGCAGCGTTCGCCCTCGCCACAGGTGGTCACGGTGCCTTTGCAGGAGCTTCCAGGGTTTCTGCAGTCAAAGCACCGCATCCGGGTTCCTGGCAGGAAAGAGAAGGCGCTGGATGGGGGTGCCCAGGCCTTCAAGAGAGCTGGCTGGCAGAAGGGAAGAGGGGAGGACCGGCTGGGTCAAAGGTAGCAGGCCTCCTCCTTACCCAAGGCCGTCTCCAGCAGGGTGCCCAGCAGGATCCCTACTAGTTGGGGGTTCATTGTGTCTGCCTGTGTCTGTAGTGCCTCTCCCTCCCGCCCACCCCCCTCCCTGACTCTATTCTGGCAGCCTTATATCCCCCTTGCCTTGGGCTTTATAGGGCAATAAAAAGGGGAGGGAAGAGTTGTGTCTCAGCCCTGGGGCTAGACATTAGGGGCCTCAATGAGTACAGACAGGGAGGGGCCTTGACAGGGAAAAGAATTTTCAGCCTCCTCTGGAGACCCCAAACTCCTCCATCCTCAACAGTCATTCTAAACCTGGGACCCATGAACTCAATGCCATTAAATCAATTCTGACTCCTGGCACCCCTACTCTTGTAGAGTAGAACCGAACCGTGTTCCATAAAGTTTTCCTGGCTGTAATCAATCCCTACAGAAGCAGATTACCAGTCTTTTCTTCTGAAGTGCCACTGGATGGATTTGAATTGCCAGTCTTTAGCAGCTGAGCACACACTGTTGATGCTAACTTCTCAGAACCCCTGCCCACTGTTGTTGATTCCAACTCATAGAGGTCCTACAGGACAGAGTAGAACAGCTTTAGAGGGTCTTTTCTGAAGCAGACAGCTTCATCTTTCTCCCAAGGGGCAGCTAGTGAATTCAAACCAAGGACCTTTGGGTTAGCAATTCAGTGTTTAATGCACTGTGCCATTGAGACTTCATCCAAGTATCTAAAACCCTTTCAAATAAACCTCAAGCATCTTCCTTTCTCAACTGATGTTCGTGTGAGACTGGATTTCTTTTTCACATACTGCAGCCAAAACAACATATTCCAACAGATTGAATACAGAAGCAGGAAAAACCCAGAGCTGTTTTATTAATTCTGACATTCGTAAAATTGTAAAGCAATGTCACTCTTCTTTTTATGTTGTTGGGAAATAATAGCTCTTTTTCATGAAAATATATTAGTATGTAGTAGTTTTATTATTTGTGTCTTTAAATGTATTTATTAATAACTAACAAAATTTAAAAAAAATTTTTTTTTTCTAATAAATATTGATGTAACTCAGACAAAGCAAACTTCTGTGAGGTCTTTTATGGTTTTTAAGAGTGTAAGAAAGTTCTGAGACCAAAAAAATTTAAAAATTGTGTGCATGTCATATTCTGAAACCAAAAACTTTTTTGAAATTGGCTGCTCTACAGATACCTGTGTCTCCCCCATCCCAGCTGTTTTTTCCTGATTTCACACCTCCTGGTACATTTGTGCCCTGATTTTCTAGAAGCAGTTTTTCTCTCCTCCCCAGTCTTGCAAATTCTAGCATAACATCCTCCTTCTCCTAAATCCACCTAGGCTCCTAGAATACCCACATCTTCTCTCTTAGTCCTTCTGATCAGCAAAGCTCTCACCCATCAGTGGAAACACACCTGTCCTTCCTGTCCCACGCATGATTAAGTCTTTCCTTCAAGGTAGTAAAGCTGGGAGGAATAATTGTGGGGTAGAAATGTTGAAGCTTTGGGGGGATCAAAGGAATCTGAAGCTGGGTGGGTCCTCTCTCACACAGCTGGGCTTTGTGTAGGTGAGCAGGGAGGGGGTAGTGGGAAGTTGTTGGTACCTTACTCACACATCCCTCAGATCTGGGCCAGGGCTGTTTGAAAGGGTGACCTTGGGATACAGGAGGAAACAGGGAGGAAAAGACAGAGAAAACAAAGACTGGGAGGCTGAATTGAGAGAGCAGAGAACAGCTTGAGGCGAAGGGAGGGAGGGCAAGGAGCCTAAAGGAAGGTGGCAGACATACCCCAAGAGTGGCAGACAAAGCTAAGAGTAACAGAGACAAACACTCTGAGGAAACTGAGAAGACCCTCAAGGGTAGGGAGGACTAGAGAGGGGGTCAGGAGGAGGTGAGAAATGTAGGGCTACAGGAGAGGAGGGTAGAGGTTGGTGAGTCTGGTCCCGGTTCCCGCCCTCGCCTTGGCAAATTCACTCCCTAGGTGTGTTTGCTAGTCCCTCCCTATCTTGTGATGCTACAGCTCTTGAGGATCTCGGGGTGCAGAGCACATTCTTCCAGACTCCTGAGCTCCGAAACCAGCCATGGGCACCTCTAGCATCTTCCTCTGCCTCCTGTGTCTCTGTGGGGCCTTGGGTAAGGGTGGACTCTGGACTAGGAAACTGGGAGAAGAGGTTTGTGGAGGAAAGCCTGGGGAAAGGGTGTCCAGAGGGGGATGAGATGAGAATTGAGGGAGCTTTCTAAAGAAGAGCTACTGGAAATGGTATCAGGCTAGACTGTAGAGTGGAATGAGATAAGAAGTGGTGAAAATAATTTTTTTTTTCTTTCAAATGCATTGGAGAATAACTGTCTCTTTATTGTCTCTTCGTCTGTGTCTCTGACTTGCCTCTGACCCTCCTGTCTCTCACCTCATCCTTTACTTCTTTGCTGGACCTCTATCTGCCCACCTTGGTCAATTGCTATTTCCTCACCAACACCATCTACATAACATCTTCACTTCCCTTGTCGGACTTGTGTCACTGTCTCTCTGTTTGGCTCTGTTTTTCTTGGCTTCTGTTCATGGTTATGGGTTATGTCATGTTTCAAACCTTTTTGCCTCTCCTCTGTTTCTTTTCCTGCATGGTTTCCCCTCCCTTCCCTTTGTCTCTATTTCTACTCTTGTCTGCCTTTCTATCTGTCTCCATCCCTGCCCCCACCACCTCTCTCCCTCAGCTCACTTCTGCCTTCTGCCCCATCTCCATTGTCCTTACAGGTCTCAGCACTTCTCCAGCCCCAAAACGGCTTCGCTGTTACACCTGCAACTTTGCCAAACCCTGCTATCCTGTCCCCACCGAGTGTCAGGATGATGAAGCTTGTGGCATTAGTACTGGCACCTCAGGTAGGACTTTAGTCCCATGACCCTTCTCCAGGTCTCTCTCTGCCTCCACCTCCATCCATCACCCTGCCTTTCCTATGCCACTTCATAGCCCCTTGCCTTCTTCTGGCCCCTGCTTCAGCATTCTCCTTTGTTCCACAGAACAGGGTGAGAACATTGAACGGAGGGGCTGCCTCCCAAGGTCCCAGTGCCCCCTGCAGGGCCATGCCACCTATTGGTCACGCTCCTACACTCTGCTGCACCGCTGCTGCCAACAGGACCTATGCAACGCTGCCACAGCCCTGCAGTGGCTCCCCAACCCCCTTCTGCTCACCACTCCACTCCTCCTATCCGCCAGCATCATCTGGGGAGGCCACCTTCTCCACTAACCATGCAGATCCACAGCCTGCAACCCAGGATGCCCCACTATCACCATAGCCCAGGAAACATCTGCACAGACACTTTTAGGGTCAAGAAACTGATTTTGTTAGGAGACCTCAGATACTTGAACTCAACACCTCCACAGACCCCCTGATTCCTGTGGACAGCCCCTACAGAGCCCAGCTGCATAAAGCCGAGCCTCATAAAAAGCACCTGTTCTATATCCTTTCTAGATGTCCACTACTGATGCCCACTCTTAGACCCAGGTCTCAGGCAAGGTAGGCATTTCAATTGGGCTCTGAGTCCCAGACAAGGGGATCAGAGGGACACCCAATGTGGGAGGAGAGTCTTGACAGAAAAGATCAATTTGGTAGGTCAGGAACTCTGGGAGGAGGACTTGGGAAGTACACTGAATTTAATAAAAGGACTTTCTGGGATTTCAATAACAATGGTTTTTTTGTGCATATACCAGCTCCACATGTGTCTACATGTCACTTGGTACTTGGTGAGTTGGGCGGGGGCGCTGGAACTTGAACCAGAACTTTCACCTCATTCTTCGTCTGTGTCATTCACGTCCTCCTTTTTGCCAATAGCTAAGTTTAAGCCACTGCAGTGTGAAGGCATGAGGCAAGACTTCCAAGGTTCTTCTCCAGTGGCAGTGTGAAGGCATGGGGCAAGACTTCCAAGGTTTTTCTCCAGTGAGGTTCATGCTAGATCAGAGACATATGGGGGCCCTGGTAGAGTGGCTTGTGAGGGTGTGGTTGGGAGCCCAACTCTTTTCTGTGGGAGACCTGGAAATGGCAGAGCTGGGAACATCAATGCCCTCCCTAGCTTTACCAGCCTAGACTTGCCCACAATGATGGCAAGCACCTGGGACAGATAACGCCCCACCTGGAGTGTCACAGAGAAATCTTACCTGTCCAACTCGCCTGCCAGCCTTAGGGACACTCCCTCTACCCTGGGGCAGTAGGGAGGCAGCACTCCATGTGTCAGGACAGTGACAAGCTGGTCACATGCTCCGGATATCCCAATGACACTCCACTGAGGAATGTGTGTGCCTGGGATAAGGACTGTGCCCTGGGAGGAGACCTGAGCACACGCAGCCCCACCCTGACTCAGTTCCCTTCCATTTCTTCTGAGGAAGCCTGGGACCTGATTAAAGGCTCTGGTTTCCTCTTTCAATGTCTCTTCTTTGTGGTGGTGAGAGGATGTCTGACTAATTTGGGGGCAAGTTGAGTTTTCTTTCCTCACTCTCTGTCCCTCAGTCCTCCCACTTTTGGCCTATTTTTTTCTACCTCTTCGTCCATCTCTGTCCTCTTACTGTGACTTGAATCTCTTCCTTTCTTTTTCTCAGTTTCCCTCATTTGTTCTTTGGTTCCCCATGAATGACTGATTGGTCAGTGTTGCACAGATCTCTATCCATTCCCATTCCCTCTTGCCCCCACCAGTAATTTAAGGTTTCCCTCAACCACCACCATGCTGGGGGTTCAGGCCCACCCTCCGCTAGCTGCTGCAAGACAGAGGGTCACACCTTTTTATAGATGACATCACAGGATAATGCTCCTCCTTTCCCCCCCACCCCTTTCCCACCACAGCTTGGCATCTGGAGACCAGCTGGACTGAAAAATCAATGCTCAGCCCCTCCCTCCACCCCCATGACAAGGTTGCTGGGGAATCCTTCAGGTGCCAGATGGCCAGGGAGATAGCAGGTCACACTTTCCAGCAGGCGGTATCACTGAAATCACCTGGTCTTGGGGGCAGGTGGCCTGTGGAATTTGTGAAACAGAGATCCAGGTTTAAAATACCTCCATTCTCTTCTTATAGAAGAATCCTGATCAAAAATGGAAAATGCACAATACCCAGATTTTTCTGGAGCCATTGAGGCTGGATGAAGCCCTAAAACTAGTGTCCTTAAATCAAAATATCTCCCCTGAAGTCCTCTTTAAACAAAATTTTTTTTAGCAAAATTAGTGAAGATTGTCTGCCATGAGCAAAGTGCTCTTTTAAAGAGGTGGGGGTGTGCCACAGAGTCGGTTCCGACAAATAGCGGCCCTGAACAGGGTTTCTGAGGCTATAAATCTTTAGGGGAGCAGAAAGCTTCATCTTTCTTCCACAGAGCAATTGGTAGAGTCAAACTACTGACCTTGCAGTTAGCAGCCCAGTTCATAATCCACTATGCTACCAGAGCTCCTTACAGACTGGGATCAAATTGACATTAATAACTCAAAAGATTAGATAGGACACAGGGGGTGTGAGGAAAAGGTGAGAATGTTGCACAACTTGAAGGATGTCATCAATATCACTGAATTGTACAGATAGAAATTGTTGAATTTGTGTGTGTCCTGCTATGCAGTTTTTCAACAACAAAAGTTCATTAATTTTTTAAAATAGTGAAATAATTCCATTTTCACTTTGTCAAGAACCAAGGCCTCATCCCCATCCCACCCCAGTGTTTTCTCTTCCATCCCCTTGGGAATTTAGGTCTTTGCCCCCTATTTTTTTCCTCACCCGAGATGGGCCAAATGGATGTTCTCGTAGACCTGGATTTCCGGTTTGAACTGAGGAATCGAGGGATCTGGGGAGAAGGAGCCATATAGGGTGGGGGAGAGAAGTCTCAAGATAACACAAAGCTGTATTTCTTGCTACCCCCTCCCACAGATAAGAAGCTACAGAAATGAGATGTGTGAGCCCACACCACTTTTCCCTCTGGGAGTGAGGAACCCACCTCTGTACAGAGCCCCCTGGACCCTGCACCTCCAGAGCAGGATGCTGAGGGCCAGGATGATGACTCCCTGACCTGTCACAAGTAGCAGCATAAGGATCCAGGGCACATCCCAGTCTGTGGAGGGAGCACAGAAAGCGGGAGAGGCATCCACGGAGGCTGTAATTAGGGCATGACAAGAGGGATAGGGAGAAAGGCTGTGAGGGGGGGGGTTCTGTTTCTGTGCCCCAAAGAGAGACTTCCCCCCCCAGCTTAGTGGATTTTTCCAACAGAAGACTTTATGAGTTTCTATGGCTCCAATACTTGCCACCCACTTTATCCCCTTCCAAACCTCCCACCCTGACCCTATGATCCACCATCAGTGCAGAATGGATGGCATTGACCTTCTAACCACACACGGAACAACTAACTTTAGAAGAGACTACCAGTTAGTTATAACTGTGCTTTTCCCCTCATCCCTTCATAGTAAACCATCCTTTCAAAAATGAATAGAGTCTCATTTAATTATTCTTCCAATTATATTTTCTCCATAAACATTTGCTGAGTACCCATCCCATACCAGGCACCATATTAGGTGCTAAGGATGAAGAGGTAAGTAAGACCATCACTGCCCATTCATTGGTTGTTGCTTACTGAAATAAAGGCCATTTGCTTCTTTCTCCTGCCTTGTAAATGGATTCTTCTGAACTCAATAGCATTCCTTCTTTGTATAATGGACTTTTTATTGTGAATTGTATGTTTCTCTCCTCTTTCTGCCTTCACTAACAATGGGCCATTATAAAATTCTTTCTTGAAAAGACAACTCCCCCAGCAATATTTCTTAGTTTCTTCCTCTTGGTTAGGGGATAGTCCAAATAATCACACATCATCCTAGTCCCCTTCCTCCAGGCAATGGTCTGCTCCATCAGAAGTTACCTCCTGATCTGTCCAATAATGGATTGGCCTCCTGTCCTGCCTCCTCCTCTAGACTGCAGGTACAAAATATTCCTATCATACCTAATTTCCTCCTTTAGTTTACCTGCCAGGCTGAAACTGATCCCTTTGTTCTGAGGTACAAGGCAGCGGATGATTCTTGGTCTGCGGCCCCTGGGCTCAGGAAGCCCCTCCCCAGGGCACACTAAGAGCAGAGCAGCCCCCTCACCCCAAAAGGACTGTACCCGGCCCTTCACAGGCCCCTTCCCCTCCAGCCAAGAGACAGAGTCCAGGCTTCTTGGGGGGATTGCAGAGCACAGGAGGACAGAGCAGAGGGATCCATCTGCAGACCTCGCAGATAACTGAGAGCCTGTGGGGAAACAGAAGACACCTCAGTTCTTTGCCTGTGCCTCCCTGGATCCCACTGACCCTGGTTTGCATGCCCCCACTTACCTCTGAGCACAGAGATGTCGTACACCCTCCAGTTCTGGTATGTGTAATGCTGACCCAGCACAGCACACCAGTACCGCCCAGCATCCCTCTCCTTGGTCCCCTCCAGCCACAGAGAGTAGTTCCCCAGCAGTTTTGGCCTTGATTCCCTTCCAAGCTTCCCAGCATCTAGGACTGGTCTAGCCACTTGAGTTTGGGTCACCAGGACAGTAGAGGAGCCTGCTGCAGAGCTACGGAACCAGGACAGGAGTTCATCCCCATACAGGCTGAGTGGTAAGGGGCATGGTAGCTCCATCGCCTCCCCCAAGGGCACATATATGGCCTGGATAGTCTCTGTGGGAGAAGGATTGAGTGAGATTAGAGACCTCCACAGGATCACTAAGTGCCCACTCAACCTCCAACTCCTCATTCCCAATCCTTTTAGGGTCCTTCAACATAAGTTTGACCGGTGTATACATTTCTCAAATAACAACTACAAAAAACAGTGAAGAGAGGAGTGTAGGGGATTTCTTCCCCTTTCCTTAGCCAGTGTGGGGATCTGAGTGCTCTAGGTAAAAGCTGGAGTAGATGGCAAATGCCAATGTTGCTTTCTTTCATTTCTCCTTTTCTGGAAGCATTTACTTTTCATCACTTATTTTCTAAGGAAATGACATGACCTGAACCCTCTCTGTTTCTGGGAATTCTCCAGTACTAGAGGTCAGGGAGGTCAGCTGGAACTAAATCTATCTTCTTGAGTTAGATGCCTCCTAGGACTCTAAGGAGAAACAGCAGCAGTCCTTCCCTAACCTTTGGAATAACTGAAGACTCCCCCCACCTCATACTTCTTACCTGCAGCAGCCTGGGGTGATGGGCATAGGAACAGAAGGAGGAAAAATAAGACCGCCATAAGAAGAGCCTGCCAACTTCTCTTGCTCTGGGACCCAGTAACCCCAGGGAGGAAACACAGTCCAGATAAAGGCCTATACTCCTTAAACTGGAGTGACATGGGCCTGTGGTAGGGATGGGAATGCTGGGGAGATAAAGCCCAGCGGCCAGTCCACTGGGGAAAACATGACCACAGCCTCTTAGTCCTAAAGAGGAAAAAAAAGGCGGACCCAGTCTAGGCTGCTCTGAAAATGACCTCCTAACATCAACACTCAAGGAAGCAGCAGTCAAGAAATCAAACGACATATTGCATTAAGCAAATCTGCTGCACAAGACCTTTTTAAAGTGTTGAAGAGCAAAGATGTCAGCTTGAGAACTAAGGTGCGCCTGACCCAAGCCATGGTATTTTCAGTAACCTCATCTGCATGTGAAAGCTGGACAGTAAATAAGGAAGACTGTAGAAGAATTGATGCATTTGAGTTATGGTGTTGGAGGAGAATATTGAAAGTGCCATGGGCTGCCAAAAGAACCAATAGCTCTGTTTTGGAAGAAGTGCAGCCAGAGTGCTCCTTGGAGGCCAAGATGACCAAACTTCGTCTCTCAAACTTCAGACATATTGTCAGGAGGGACGAGTCGCTGGAGAAGGATATCATGTTTGGTAAGGTGAAGGGTCAGAGAAAAAGAGGAAGACCCCCCCAATGAGATGGATTAGCCAAGTGGCAGCATCAATGGACTCAAGCGTGGCAACAGTGGTGAGGTTGGCCCAGGATCAGGCAGTGTTTCGTTCTGCTGTACGTAAGGTCGATATAGGTCAGTACCGACTTGATGGCACCTAACAACAACAACAACACCTCAGCTGAAAGACTCAGATCAGAGACTTGCCATACTAAGACACCTACACAGAAGGATTTCATGGTTGTCCATCTCTCATCAGTCTGGAAGTATTGTGATTTTCTTTCCACTCCTAAGAGAAACAAATCATGACCAAAGGAGCTGATTTGTCATGTTGATTTACGTGAGACCCAGCACATAGCTGGGCACCCAACTGTTGTTAGGTGCCATCAAGTGACCCTGTATAGGGTTTCCAAAGGGTGACTGGTGGGTTTGAACTGCTGACCTTGTGGTTAGCAGCAGTCCAAGTCTTATCCTACAGTGCCACATCAAGACTCAGGCACTCAATGAGCATTCCGTAAATTATTTGGAATGACTTATTTTGATAATTGGCACATCACAGACCTCCCCGGAATCCCTGATGAGTAATTACTCATAGAGAATATGAGGTAATTACTCAAGGAGAAAGATACAAGGGGCTTGGAGAAGTCACTGATTCATCGCTCTGCCCCAGGCAGGACTCTCTCAAAGCAGATCTTCATACAGTTCTAACACTTTGAAATTTTTCTTTTCTTTCTTCCATACATACAATAGGACACAATGTTTGGAAAATATTATACTGGGTGAAATAAATTGGTCACAAAAGGACAAATATTATCATCTGAAATATCTAGAATAGGCAAGTGTATAAAGATCAAAGTTCATTAGTATTACCAGGAGCAGGCCGAAAGGAAGGAAACGAAGGCTATGATACTTGGGGACACTAAGCTTATGTTAAAAATGATGAAAAATTTGGGGAAGAGTGAATGATGATGGTTAAATAATATGATTAATATATTTAATGTCATTGAACTATACATGTGAAGACTAATGAAATGTCAAATATTTTATTACATATGAGTATGTATAACAATAAAAAGGAGTTCTGGTGGCATAGTGAGTTATGAGTTGGGCTGCTACTCACAAGGTCAGTAGTTTGAATCCATCAGTAGCTCTAGGAGAGAAAAATGAGTCTTTCTTCTCCCATAAAGTTTTATAGCTTCGGAAACCCTATACAGGCTCTCTATGAGTTGGAACCGAATCAATGGCACACAACCACCACCACCACAATAAAAAATGATTTTAGAAGATACAGAAATGTATAATGAATAAATAACTGCATAGTGGACAGTAATAAGACTGAATAAATCACCGTGACAAACAACAAGTTCAATATCACAGAGACACACATAGCTTATATTATGTAAAGTACAAAAACAGAGAAAACTCATCGATGGGGTTAGAAATTAGAAGAGTAGTGCCATTTGGAGTGAGAGCAGCAACTGGTAGGGACCTGAAGAGGGTCTTGTGGATGCTGATAATGATAGATTCTTTATTTGATCATGATTACATGAATATATTCAATTTCCCATTTCTCTATGTATGTGTTGATTCCAATATTAAGCTTGTAGCTATAAAGTCCTTGGTGTGTTCAATTACTAACTCATTATCAGTTGGACCCTACCCAGCAGACACCATGGAAGAAAGGTTTGGTGGTGATCTGCTTCCTTGAAAACCTCAGAGTCCAGTTCTGAGGTTTCCATAGTTGAAATTAATTCCACTGCAATGGGTAAGGTACAATGAATTATAAATAAAATAAACCTGCATACCTATTTCAAAATTTGTTGTTATTTAGTACCGTCAAGTTGGTTCCAACTCATAGATACCCCGTAAAGGGTTTCCAAGGAGCGGTTGGTGGGTTTGAACCACTGACTTTGTGGTTATCAGCCAAATGCTTATCCTACAGCGCCACATTGTTGTTGTTAAGTGCCATGCTGTCGAGTCAGTTCCAACTCACAGTGACCCTGCACAGGGTTTCCGAGGAGCAGCTGGTGGATTTGAACTGCTGACCTTGTAGTTCACAGTCCAGTGCTCATCCTACAGTGCCACATCAAGAATCCACAGTGCCACATTAGAACATTTATATTTCAGTCAAAGATGCTGTCTAAATGTGCTTCACTTACTTTATCATTCAATTTTATATTTTTGAGTTTTGTATCAACGGTATCATGGTGTAATGCTCCTCCCTCTCCCCCCACTCAGTAGTCTGGTTTTGAGATTTATCCAGGATTATGAGTGTTAATTCACTCATTTTCATTTTTACCAATATTCCACACATCTGTACAACACTGTCTCCCTAGTGATGACCATGATGTTGTTGTTATGAGCCATGGAGTTGATTTTCGACTTATAGTGATTGCATGTGACAGAGAAAAACTGCCCTATAAGGTTTTCTGGACTGTAATCTTTACAGAAGCACATTACCAGGTCTTTCTCCCACAGAACAACTGCCATTCAGTTAGCAGTTAAGCAATTAACCAGCGTTCCTAGACCATTTAGCTCTACAATTAGTCAAGCCTTTTTCTTTTTTAACCTTTTAAACAACTTTTATAACGTTCTTCATAAATTCTTGCGTTTGCAAAATGCTCCTGATCTTCCCCTCTCGCTTCCTCTCTCGGTCGAGTCTGCCAACTATTAAAAAATAGGAAAAAAAAAAAAAAGACTTGGCTATGCCAAATAATTTTCTAACTCTCCACGTTCCAAACGCCTCCAACTAATTTCTAACCATTGCTGAACCCGTAGGTCCAACTGCGAGAAACCCTTTCCAAAAAGCTCAGAAAATGCCCCGACTCTCCACAAGGCCAGTACGCGCTGACGTCAAGCACACGCAATACCTCAGCGGCTGGGAGAGGGCGGGGCCAGCAGGGGGACCTGCTGCCGAAAGAGCAGCGGTCCGAGCCGGGGCCATGGCGAAGCTGTTGAGCTGTGTCTTAGGCCCCCGGCTCTACAAAATCTACCGAGAAAGGGACGCAGAACGGACCCCGTCTGGCGTCCCAGAGACTCCAACTTCAGTTGCCACTCCCTCTTCCAGTTCCTGGGTGAGTCGCGTTCTCCCTCCCCCCCAGTGAAAAACATGGTACTACCCAAGCCTCTTTGCGGCCTTTGCTCTCCTGAAGTGCCCATTATTGGAAATAGGGGGAGCCTGTTTGTCAAGCCAGTTGTTCTCTTAAGTCAGAGCTCTTTGGGCTTCCTGGATTAAAGTCGCGGTTATAGGCTAAATGCCTCTTTTCTTTATCGCGGTTTGCGCACCGCCTCTCCTTCCCACTATCACTCCTGGTTTTTTCCTCTCCGCGGCCCTCCACCCTGTCTGTCAGTGGTCCATGCTGATCTCTATTGACTATTAAACCCTAGATGAGACCCTACACGGATTGAGGAGCTGGGGAATTTTTCTGTAAAACTCCCAATTTCTTTTTCCTTGGTGACACTTGGATTTACCCCTGGACCGTTTACCTTCCCTCTTACAAGGTCCTTGAATTTCAAAATGATTTCAGCACATCATGTTTCCACCTCCCTCCTCCCAGTTTAACCTGGAGACCCCAGTCATTACATTCATGAAAGCTGGAGGGAGGTGGTCTGGTGATGGTAGGCTATGCTCCTAAATCATCTCTTCCTTTTTATTGGTCGTCCCAAATTATGTTTATGGTCCCCTACAAACTGCCACAGTAGTCTTTACCATCTGTCTCTACCCTAGTCAACCTGCCCTATAGCTGATGCTCTTCTTAACCTCTCAAAGTTGTCTTGTGTCTTTTCTAGCATTGCTGACCCCTCTCCCCATATACACATGTTCATAACCCATTTAAAACTGGTTGTGAAGAAGGAACAAAAGTCACCCGGACTGCTTTTACTTTTTCTTTCTGGTCCAGCAACTTGTGCTGGTTCTTCTGGTCTGGGGGTGGGGAGAAGGGCTTCAATGGGGCTCAAATGAAAGATGCCCCAAGAGACCAAGCTTGGAAGGCAAGAGCTAGAGGATATGCTAATGGCTAGGGTCCTTAACCAGCCATCTGTCTTGGCAGGATTCGTACTATCAGCCTCGTGCCCTGGAGAAGCATGCTGACAGCATCCTGGCGCTGGTATGTCTGCCCTTGGCATCTGGGACACACTGCATCTTGTCAGACCCAGCTGCCCTCTTGAACTCAGTTCTCCTCAGACTGGAAAAAGACACCTCAGGGCTGGGGGATTCTCTGGGCTCTGCAGCAGACCTCTCCAATCCATACATGTGCTCTTCCGTGCACATACTTGACATTCCCCTTTGGTATGGAACATGGCTTTCTCTGGGGCAGCCTGAGCCATGAGGAAAAATTTCTTTACTCTCGGGACCATTCGCAGGTAATAAGTCCTGCAGTCTCTAGTGACATGTCCTCCCTGGCAACTAATCTCTTTGGCTGCAGAGGCAGCTGTTGTCTCTGGCTGGGTTCCTATGGTGACATTTGCGCATCTGTTGGAGAGCAGTCCAGGGCTCTTCTGAGCAGAGCCAATTGAGAAAGCTTGATTAACTTGAGTAGAGAGAGGGACTGGCCTTTAAATATGGTAGAATTACATCCAGAGGTGATTTGGGGAAAGAAAACAACCTAGTTTTCCCAGCCTCTGTTATGCTCTAGCACATTACCTTTCAACAAATATCAGGCACCTATTGTCTGCTTGGGCAGTGTGGCACTGTAGGATCAGCACTGGATTGCAAACTGCAAGGTCAGCAGTTCAAACCCATCAGCTGCTCCTCGAAAACCCTATACAGGGTTGCTGTGAGTTGGAACTGACTCGATGGCACTCAACAATTGTTGGCTTGGGGAGCACGGTGGCTCTGTAGGATAAGTACTGGACTGCTAACCACAAAGTTAGAGGTTTGAGCCAACCAGCCACTCCATGGGAGAAAGATGAGACTTTTTGCTTCTGCAAAGAATTACAGCCTCAGAAACACTATACAGGGTCACTATGAGTTGGAATCGACTTGAAAGCACTTAAGAACAACATAGCAACAACTGTATGATTGATAGTATGCCAGAATAGGTACTTGATATGATATTCCTTGGTTTATCCAACTTGTTCAGAGCTTAGGCCTGGAAATGGCAGAACTGTGTCTTTGTGTGCATGTGTGTTTGTATGCATGTATGTATGTATATTGACTGCCTTTTCCCGTCTCTCTGCTGCAGGCTTCAGTCTTCTGGTCCATCTCTTACTACTCCTCTCCTTTTGCCTTCTTCTACTTGTACAGGAAAGGTCAGTGTGGTCTCAGAGGTGGTGGGTAGGACGTGGGCAGCTGGTTGGGAGATGAACTAGCCACCTAAAGAGGAAAGGGGCTTATGAGGATGATTTAGCTTTCTGATTATATCAGCATATTCTTCCTCTGAAGTTGCAGTTGTCCTAAAGAGAGGATCTGGGTTGGAGGTTGGGGCCACATTGGGAAGAGGAGCTGGGGGGCAGTGGGGAGAGCTGCTCATGTGGTCCCTTTTCCTTCCCCAGGCTACTTGAGTTTGTCCAAAGTGGTGCCTTTCTCTCATTACGCTGGGACATTGGTACTACTGCTGGCAGGTGTGGCCTGCCTCCGAGGTAAGTGAGAGCGGCACCTGGTTTACGTCTGTCCATCATTGGTAAATATATTTTAATTACCTTCTGCAAATACAGTTTGGTTCTAGCTCTTGAAAAGAAATCATTGAGAATGGTCTAAGGTATAATCTTTTCTTTAAAGGGCATTAGTCCTGAATATGAAAAAGTAACTAACAGAAAACGTTGCTATTATCTTAAAAAGGTGTGTATATCCAACCCCTCAGTAATCCCACTCCCAGATATATACAAGAGAAACTTCTGCACATGTGTAAATAATATATTGTTGTTAAGTGCCATTGAGTCAGGTCCACTTACAGCGATCCTATACAGGGTTTCCAAGAAGCAGCTGGTGGGTTTCAACTGCTGACCTGGTGGTTAATAATCCAATATTCATTCTACAGTACTGCACCAGGACTCAAAGTAATATATATGTATAAGAATATAGCATACAGCATTGTTTGTAATAACCCTAACCTGTAATTCACTCTGATGGCCATGAGTTACAGGATGAATTATACATTATGTGGGATAGTCATATAGTAGAACACTGTCCAGCAGTGAAAATGAATGAACTGTAGCTACACCCAACTATAAAGATAAATTTTGACACATTGGGGAAAAAAAGCTGGCCACAAAATACTTTATGCAATATGTTTTTGTTTATCTTAAGTTCCAAAGGGACAAAACACTAAAGGACAACAAGGGCATGAAGGACAGGAGAATGCTTACCTTACTGGAGGAGGAGGAGAGTGTAGGATGATGAGGACTTCTGGGGGAGGGGTGGTTCTATTCTCTTTATTACCTTGCGTAGTAGTAACATGAATGTTTGCTTTGTATTTTTTAAGCTGCATATGCATTTTATGTATGTATGTTACATCTCTGTGAACTTTGATGACCATGAATCATAGGATGGATAAGTACATTATGTATTATCCATCTCCAACCAAAATTCCAGCTTTTTGAGGGCCTAGAGCTAGGGTTTGATTTCCTGCCTCGTTTCTCATGTGTAGAACAGTGACTGTATCAGGGCTTGGGATTTCTCAACACTGAAGACAAAGTGGACTAGATCACTGATAAGGCAGGTGAAGAGAGAAAAAAGCTAAGTGTTGAGGATTCTTCCCAATAGAGAGAGGGAAGTAGAAAGAAGGCAGGGTGGGAGCTGTCCCAGAATTGGAATGTGGTCCAGGAGGACAGGCCCAGGAAGCAGAGGAAGAAGGACTTTTCAAAGGACAGGAAGAGTGTTGAGTGGTGCAGTTGATGAGAACTGAGCAGAGATCATTGGATCCAGTGGGAAAGTAATTATGGAACAAGAGTGAGTGACTATGAAGGCCAATTGCTGAGGGTTAAGAACAGTGGAATATACAGAATAAAGATAAAGCAAGCAATGGAGAAGGGTGGCAGTGAAAGAAGGGAAATCCAAAGCTAGCAAGGTTCCATGACTATTCCAGAATGAGGAAGGTTGATAGTCTATAAAGAAATAAACTAAAGAAGTTAAGAAGGGGAGGAATCCTATGTGTCAGTTGCTGGATGTGGAGGAAGATCTGTTTCTCCAGGTCCCAGACTTGCCATTCCTTTTTCTCTTCTCTTCCAAGGCCTTCCCCTTGCCCGTCCTCAATTGTTTTCCTAAAACCTGGGCATCCTGTTTCTCAGTTTTCTTAGCACAGTTTTCTATCTCCTCTCTACCAGGCATTGGCCGTTGGACCAACCCCCAGTACCTGCAGTTCATCACTATCTTGGAAGCCACACACAGGAATCAGTCCACAGAAAACAAGGTGAGAGGTTCTAGGAAAGGTGCTAAGCAGGTACCCTGGCAGCAGCTCCCTCAGCTCCCTCCTCAGAACACTAAGTGGCAGCTTCTGCCAGTAGGAGATGTGTTTTGCCATCCACCACACAAGAGTGTTTGTTGACAGGGAGTTTCTCCCCTTCATAAGAGAATTGTCCACCTGCAGAGTCTCCCCTCCATATCCATTCTAATGAAATGTTCTGCTAAACAGTTCTCACCTACTCCACTCACCCACCTGAAAGAACTCTCTAAATATAGACTGTGGAATGTTTTTTAGATGAGAGTTTCCTCTCCATCCCAGTAGCTCAAGTCTGGAAATGGTTTTGGATCTCTGCTGTGTCAGTTGAATATCAAGCTAGATTTATTCAGGGATAGAACAAGATGGGAAGGTATGTGCACTCCTGTGCCCCAGGAGCAGAGCATGGTGCCAGGAGGGAGAAGAGCCAGGGCACAGTGTCCTTGGAGTTGTGCCAGGCCAGCTGGTTCTGCTGGAGTGTGATTATCATTGAGAAGGGGCTTTGAGGCCCCATAAAGCTCTTCCCTATTGCAAGGGGATTTCTGGGATCAAACAGTTATGATCACCATCATCATATTACTGGTTACTCCACGCCACCATTTATGGAGCTCTGTAATGAAGCTGTGGATCACGCCACTGTCTGAGGCATTTTGTGTTCACCCTTTCTGATCCTCACAACAACCACATGAGCTGGCATGATTGCCCTCATTTATACATCTGAGGAAGCACAGGCCAAGTGGTAAGTGCCCCATCCAGAGTCGCAGAACAAGGGCAGGCCAAGACAGGGTGCAAGTCCAGGTCTGTACAGATGTGCAGAGCCTGCCTGAAATGTGCTTTTCCTCATTATGTTTGGTTCTGCCATTTATATTTTTGTACAATTTTTCTACCATTCTGTTAGTCAAGTTATTTTTGAAAATGTTAGGAAAAAAGTTCTCTGGCATAAAATTAAAAAAAAAAAAACCAAACCCACAACACTCTTCAGATAGAGTGCTGGGAGATCTGGGGGTGGGAGAAATCCAGCAGTGTAAGCGTTAGCTCCCACTGCCCTCAGGAAGCAGGTAGAATCAGTAATGTGACCAGAGACACAGATGGTCTGTGTGGCAGCACTGGCCCACAACCACAGGAGGTGACAGAAGGCTTCATTCAAGAGGTGACCTTGGGTGCAAAGAAACCCACTGTGGGTGTGACTTTCCTGCCTTCTCTCTCCCACCCAACCTTGGCACAGTCAGTTTAATCCCCTGGGGATTTTGGAGCCTCCAAGGCAGCTCCAAGTCATGGACCCTGGTGGGGAAGTGAGCAGTGACCAGCAGCCAGCAGGCCCTTCCATGTCTCCCTCAGAAACAGCAGCACCTCCAGCCATCCCACCTAGGGCTGGTCAGTCTTAGAGTTTCAGAAAAGCAAAAGTGTTGGCTTTCCTTATTTGAATGAGGGCCCATAGACGTGATCCTTAGGAAGGTATCTTCTCTTGCCTGGTTTTTTGGTCCATGTCAGAGCTCCCCATCTGCAAATGGGAAGGGTGTTGACCTCGGCTTGGTATATTACAGGCCAGTCCTTTGAATGACAAGGTTGTTAAAGGTGGGTAGTGGGCCTTCCAGCTCTCAGCTTCCCTTTGCTCACCTCCTCTCTCTCCCTGCCCACCCCAGAGGCAGCTCGCCAACTACAACTTTGACTTCAGGAGCTGGCCAGTGGACTTTCATTGGGAAGAGCCCAGCAGCCGGTAAAGCCTAGTTCTTTTGCTCTCTTTCCCTCCCATTGGAACCTTCCCACATAATCCCTTCCTTGTCCTGGCCCTCCCACCACCTTCATCCCTCTCTTGGGCTTCAGTACCTGCCTTCCAGCACCACCTCCTCATTCCTAGACCCCATCATCTTCAGGACCTCTGATGTCCAGAATGCTGCTCCTGACCCCATCCTCCCCTGCATCTTTCCCTTCCTCAGGAAGGAGTCCCGAGGGGGCCCTTCCCGCCGTGGTGTGGCCCTGCTTCGCCCAGAGCCCCTGCATCGGGGGACAGCAGACACCTTCCTCAACCAAGTCAAGAAGCTGCCTTGTCAGATCACCAGGTAGGAAAGGGCGGGGAAGTGAGGCCAGCTCGGTGGAGGGGATGTGGGACAAGGGCTTTGGTGACTGGGTACACCATTGTAAAATAACTCCTTCGTTGAACTAGTGCTTTCTGTGTTATTTGTGACAAAGTTGCTTTTATCCATATTTATGTGTGAGAAAAGGAAAATCAGAGGGTCCAAAATCACATAGTCAATAAAGAGCTGGGATATCAACACAATTCTCTCTGATGCAAAGACTCTTTTTGATGAAGCAGAGGAAGGCATGAGTTTGGGGGCCAGGAGGAAACACATGGCCTATACCTGGAGCAGGGTCAGGTGTGTAGCAAATGGTATGCCCTCCTGGCTCCACTGCTGATTGATCATCCCACCTTGGGCGACCACTTGGCCCTTCTAGACCTTAGTTTCTGCATCCCTGAATAGCCTGCCTCACAGGGTTGTTGAGGAGTTTAAGTGTGGTAACATCTTCTCAAGGGCTCCCACCATGCTGGATGCCTGACAGCACTTGGTAAAGCCTGAATACATCACATTGTATGCTTTTCTTCATTGTGTTTGTTCTGTCAATTTATATTTGTGTACGTTTTTTCTAACACTTTCTATTAGTCAGGTTTTTAAGAAACATCAGTAACTGTTTATGTTTTATAGTGGAGTGCTGTCCGAGTTATCTAATGCTGCTGTAACAGAAACCCAGATACTGAGCAGCTTTAACAAACTGAAGTTTACTTCCTCACAGTTTAGAAGGCTGAAGTCTGAATTCAGGGTGCTGACTTCAGGGAGAGACTTTCTCACTCTCATAACTCTGAAGGAAGGTTCTCATCTCTTAGAGCGTCTTCTCTTGAGCAGTCTTCATGTGGCTTGGCACCTCTCTTCCCCTCGTCTCTGCTTTCTTGTTTGTTGTTGTTGTTAAGTGCCATCGAGTCAATTCTGACTCATAGCAACCCTGTATAGATAGGGTTTCCAAGGAGCAGTTGGTGAGCTTGAACCATGGACCTTGCAGTTCAAACAACTTTGTAGTCTGACTCATTAATTCTGTCTCATTAATATGAGAAATGGGATAAGAACCAAAGTCCCCCCCAAAAAACAAATGCACTGTCGTAGAGTAGATTTCAACTCAATAGTGATCCAATAGGGCAGGGTAGAACAGCCCCACAGAGCTTCCAAGGCTATAAATGTTCACGGAAGAAGACTGCCGCATCTTTTTCCTGCGCAGAAGGCTGGTGAGTGAGTTCAAGCCACCGACTTTAGAGTTAGTGACTGAGTTCTTTAACCACTGCGCCACCAGGATTCCTCGTAGCCACAGGCATGTTGTTGTTGTTAAGTGTCATTAAGAAGATTCCGACTCACAGTAACCCTATGCACAACAGAAGTCCTGCACCATTTTCACAGTTGTTACTACGTTTGAGCTGCCACTGCCAGCCCATCTCACTAGAGGTCTTTCTCTTTTTTCACTAACCACAGGCATGTTGTTGTTAAGGGGCGTTGAGTTGGTTCTGACTCATAGCGACCCTGTATAGGATTTCCAAGGCTGTAAATCTTTGTGGGAGCAGAAAGCCTCATCTTTCTCCTGCAGAGCAGCTGGTGGGTTTGAACCACTGGCTTTGTAATTTACAATCCAGTGCTTATCCTACTGAGCCATTGTGCTTCCCTAACCACAGGCATAGAGGTTAGGATTTATAACACGTATTTTTGTGAGACACGATTCAATCCATAACAAACAGATACTGAGAATTATCTTTTGCTGGAGTTAGGAGGAAGCTTCTAGAATATTAAGGAAAGAGGTAGACTTTTGTTGACTGTGCTGGTTGATCAAAGGGGTGAGCCAGATTTGGAGTTTGGAGTGGAGTGCTGCCGAGGATTGTACAGTTTTGTTATGGGACAAAGCTTACCTCAGGATTAACCAGAAGTGGTTGATCATCTTCTCAGAACAGTGCCTATCACATGTTCTTTGCAAAATAAATGTTTAAGCTTCTACTTTATGCCAGGATCTGGGTACCTTATCTCATTGAAAAATCCAGCCAGGTCCCTGGCCCAATGGAGTTTGCAGCCTAGTTTGATATTTTCAAACTAAGGATCTTGACCCATTGAATGAGTGAATTTTGAAATCAATTTAGGGAACTTTATAAGTCCTGATGTGGAGCTGTGGGTTAATGCATCAGACTGTAAAGCTGTTTGAACTGCAAGGTTGGTGGTTCAAGCTCACCAGCGTCTCCTTGGAAACCCTACACAGGGTCACTATGGGTGGGAACCGACTCAACGGCACCTAACCACAACAACAGGCATCATTTTAAAAAAAAAAACAAAACTGTTGTTTATTTGGGAACTCTCATTAAGTTGTGTTTATACAGTAACAAGGAGACCCTAGGAGGCAAACACACTTGGTTATTAACCAAAAGGTTGGCATTGAGAGTCCACCTCAAGGTACCTCAGAAGAAAGACTTGTCAACCTACTTCTGAAAAAGTAGTCAATGTAACTCTATGGAGCACAGTTCTACTCTGACGCACACGGGGGTCACCCTGAAATCACCATGGAAATCAACAAAATTATATTTGATAATTTTGATTTTACTTATTACATATACTAAACTCATTGTCATCAAATTGATTTAGGCACATAGCAACCAAAGACTGAGTAGAACTGCCCCAGAGAATTTCCAAGACTATGATCTTTATGGAGAAAAGCTCTGATGGTACCATAGGAGAAGCACTGAACTGTACGGGTTTCTGAGAAGCACAATCTTGGTGGTTCCGACCCACCAGCTGCTTCTCAGAAACCTATACAGGGTTGCAATGAGTCAGAACTGACTCGACGTCACTTAACAACAATGACAAACCCTGTACAAGGTCGCTGTGAGTTGGAATTGACTTGATGGCAGTGGGTTAATTAAAAAAATTTTTTTTTAAAGAAGTAAGCCTTTAATTCCTTGCTGCACAGATACAGCTGGCTGAGTTGGTAGTTCTGGGTGACCAAATCCTATATCCTCATCCAACTCCTCCAGCTCTTCTTTTGCTTTAACTTTGCTGAGGTGGCAGCAGGAACAGCAGTGGTGGCTGCTGCTGCAAGGGTGGCAACCACAGATCCAGATGGATCAGCCGAGAAGGCTTTATTTAACCTTTTCAGCCAGTGGAAGGTGGTGGTGTTGTTATGTGCCGTGGAGTCGGTTCCAATTCATAGCGATCCTGTACAGGGTTTCCGAAACTGTAAATCTTTATGGGAACAGAAAGCTTCATCTTTCTCCCGCGGAACAGCTGGTAGTTTCGAACTGCTGACCTTAAGGTTCGTAGCCCGATTTGTAACAAAGCCAGGACCTGCTTGTACCCATTGATGATGGAATGGGGTAATGAGGCAACACTTGGGTGACCAATCTGCAGACACACACTGGCAATGTTGTAAACACCCTCTAGGAAATGAGATACAGCACTTCCTCAGTGATGGCAAGCACTTCTGGGTTGTAGATATTGCCATTGTTAAAACACCTATTGGATGGTCAGCTCAGAGGAGAAGAGAGATGTTCAGCAATATCAGCAGGGGGGCTTCACTGGATCCCACTTTGTCTCCAGCCTTCATCAACTACACATCACTTAAGATTTCAATGGTGCCTCTGGAGATCTTCGTGGTAATACCCAAAACCTGGAAGGAGGTCTTATCAGGACCCAGACTCGTGTTCTGGGCTGGCACAGTAACCTCACATAGAGCATGGGCAACAGCTGGCACCTTGTTGGCCACCTTCATGTCCCTGATCTCAGTGAAGTGAACACACACCCCACATTGTTCCAGATGTGAGGCCACAGTGTCTCCAGGTGCCCTCGGATGGCCTTGTGCATCGTGGTGTTCTTGCCCATTAGAGCCACAGCCTTCCTGGGCAGGGACGCTTGGATCTGCTGCATCTGCTTGGAGTCCACATTGTCTGCTCCCACGATGAAGCATTTTGTATAGTCATCCAAAAGTTGTGTGATCTTAAGGAAGTAGTTGGACTTCCAGGTCACCCTTTCTTCCCTGAGCATCACGGTGGTGCATCAGGGTTTGCCACATGGGGTTTAAAGACAATGTCACTCTCACTGGCAAGAAAGTGGGTTACTCTTTATGAAGCTGACTGCCACATCTTTCTTCCTCAGAGTGGCTGATCTTTCAGTAAGCAGCCAAGTGCTTTAACCATGGTGCCACCCGGACTCTGTTATCTGTGGTGGTGGTGGTTATGTGCCGTGGAGTTGGTTTCAACTCATAGCTACCCTGTACAGGGTTTCTGAGGCTGTAAATCTTTACAAGAGCAGAAAGCCTCATCTTTATCCCACAGAACAGCTGGTAGTTTCAAATTGCTGACCTTGCGGTTCGCAGCCTGATTCGTAGCCACTACGCTACCAGAGCTCCTTTATTATCTGTGGATAATATTATCTCATAAAACTGTCACTTCAGAATCATATATACATGTGTGTACTGGACCACAGCATTAAATTTGTGATGTACAAAGGTTGCAGTAAAAAGTAGATGGGGTAACACCAGCCAGGTACATGTATTATTTCATTAAGTCCTGAAAGAGGAATGCAGCACTCTGTAAATCAAGGGTGCCGCAGGCCCCAGGGTCTCTGAGCCTCAGTGTTGGGAGGGTGTCCCTGGGCCCCAACGGAGTTGAGGATTGTTAACCTCAGGTTTCCTGCAGCTATCTTGTGGCGCACACCCTGGGGCGCCGGATGTTGTACCCAGGCTCCGTGTACCTGCTCCAGAAGGCCCTGATGCCTGTGCTCCTGCAGGGCCAAGCCCGGCTGGTGGAAGAGGTGAGACTGCCTTGTTCCCACCCCTGCCTTGCCACCCGTTGCCCCCAGGGACATGGCCCTCCTACCCCTCACAGCCTGTCACTGCATCTCCCCCAACTAGTATCACGGGCGCCGGGCGAAGCTGCTGGCCTGTGATGGCAGTGAGATCGACACCATGTTTGTGGACCGGCGGGGGACAGCTGAGCCCCAGGGACAGAAGCTGGTGAGTGGGAACAGGGAGCTCAAAGCTGAGTATAGGAAAAGCAGCTGAAGTTCTGAGGAAGCCAACCTGGGATGACTCCATCTCCCAGCTCCACCCCAAAGACCTCCGGATATAGGTAAACCTTGTGATAGGGAAAGAGATGAAGAAGTAGAAGTTGACATTCAAGGACCAACAGGTAATAATCAGAATAGTAAAAACACATACAGCTTTTACCACATGCAAGGCATATGTTTAATCCTCACAACAAACCTTGCGAGGTAGGTACTATTAGCCCATTTCTGATGAGGAAACTGAGGCACACAATAACTTTACCATTGTTACACAGCTAATAAATAGTAGAGCCTGGCTCCAAAGTCTTCTGCCTCCTTCAAGCAGACGTGAAAAGAACACTGAGTTAGGAGTCCCGGAAACGGAGTTCTAGTGCCAGCTCTGTCCAACTACTGTGAAAATCTGTATGTCCTACATCTCTGGTCTTCAGCCTGGAACACCATGGAATTGGAGTGTATCTGGCCAGAGAGAGGGAAAGGATTTGCATACCGCATGACATACCTAAAAGTGATGCAGAAAGAAAGCAGATCCAAAATAGAAACAAAAAAGCTTTACTGCCATCAAGTCGATTCCAGCTCCTAGCAACTCTCTAGTAGAGCTAATTCCTAGGTTTCGGGGACTGACAGCCTCATCTTTCTCCAGTGGAGTTGCTGGTGGGTTTGAACTCCCAACCTTGTGGTTAGCGTCCAACCTGTACCCCACAGTGCCAACAGGGCTCCGATAAAACTGTAAAGGAAAGAAAAATCCACAATCGCATTTCTTCAGATAGATCTACTTCATGGTGTTCTGAGGAAAAATGGGTACCTTGCTACTTAGTGATTTCATCTTCTGGGGTCAGGTTACTGAACAATCACGTACACTTTGCTTCTCATTTCACAGGGGCATTGTCAATTGAGAAGCATCTCTTCTCCCTGGATAGAACAGGAACCAGCTTTCCTTTCCCTGTAAAGCTCCCACCTACTGTCCTCCCTGCCCTGAGGGGGATTTTCAGACCCAGCTTGGCTCCCTCCCACCCCCTCTTCCTACTTTCTTCCCACAGGTGATCTGCTGTGAGGGGAATGCAGGGTTCTATGAGGTGGGCTGTGTCTCCACCCCTCTGGAAGGTAGGCCTGGGCTCAGCCCTCAAATCTCTGCCTTTTGGAACAGAATGTTCCTACCTCCGCATGCTGATAGGATCTCCCTAAGGCCAGACCTTCACTTTTCTCTGGGGGAGGTATGAGTTCCTTACCTTTGTGGGAAAGTCAGACCCCTGCCTTGTTGTGATACCTGCCTTCTCTTCCTTTGGGATGTATACCTAACCTTATTCTCTATTCTGTCCTCACTCACTCACACACACACACTCGCATAAAACCACACAGCTCCCTTCTGCTGCCTCAGCTTTTGGTGTGATGCCCATTTGGGAAGGCCTGGAATTATTTGCCTCTGGGGTTGGAGGGTGTTTAGAGCTCATGCTCCTTCCCCGGGGGCATGAGTCAAGGTCTCAGTTTCTCCTCCTGTTACAGCTGGATATTCAGTCCTGGGCTGGAACCATCCAGGCTTTGCTGGAAGCACGGTGAGACCCTCTCTAAAATCCCTTCCTTTTTTTGAAATACGATTCTTCTCCCTCTAGAGAGAACATATTTTCTCTTCTGGAGAGAAAAGGCTAGAGGGTTGTATATTTCTGTGGGACCTCCCACTCCATGTGACCTGGATGCCAAGGGCAGGAAAGCTGGGAAGACAGCATTGAGCATGCTGTCCTCCTCACAATTAGGGAGTGAAGTGGATCTCTTTTGAGGACACCTGCCCTTCCTCCCTTCATTGTCTTCTCCACCTTCTCATCTATTGTCAGATGGTCAGATGGCTACAGGAAGGGTCCACATTGTTGGGAGGGCACTGATGATGAGTGAGCCAGCCTTTGGTGCTAACATGCGCCTCCCTTTACCCTTCTTCCTGCAGGGGGTGCCATTCCCACAGAATGAGGCCAATGCCATGGACGTGGTGGTGCAGTTTGCCATCCACCGCCTGGGCTTCCAGCCCCAGGACATCATTATCTATGCCTGGTCCATTGGTGGCTTCACAGGTACTATCCTTCTCTTCACTTCCCCCACCATAGGACTTTCCTGTGTCTGCCCTCCTACCCCCAGGAGAGGTGGGGAAATGCCCAGGGCAGAGCTCAAGGAAGATAGGGAGGATGTGAGATCTCCAGGTGGGCCTGGAAGATGGTATCATACATGTATATGCTTCCCATTTTCTTTCTTCCTTGTGCTTGATGATTAAAAGGAGAAAACAATCCAGAATCCTGGTGTGGGGATGTCAGGCAACGTGACTCTTTCTTGCCCCTGTTGTCTGTGATGTATTTCCAACAATGGTCTGTTCACTCTCCAGCCTCTCCAGATGGTGCCTGGCCTAGTGCAGTGAGGGGTTAAGGAGACCAAGCATGGCGACAGTAGGGAGAACAGGGTTAGCCATAGGGTAAGGGGGAGGATGAGTAGTGGCAAGAGCCCCCATGAGCGCCTTCTTTCATGTACCAGCCACGTGGGCAGCCATGTCTTACCCAGACATCAGTGCTGTGATCCTGGATGCCTCCTTTGATGACCTGGTACCCTTGGCCTTGAAAGTCATGCCGGACAGCTGGAGTGAGTGCAGTTCTCGTGCCTGCCCTTCCAGGGAAGCAGTGGGTTGGAACTGGGAGCTGTACTAAATGGGATGGTTCCCTTCTCCATGGTTGGGGACTAAGTTAACCTATCTGAGGGACTCTCTCCATGGACATGTCCTTTATGCTGAGCAAGGGTTTTCTCTCTACCAACCCTTCCTCTTTGTTCCATCACTCTAGGGGGCTTAGTGACCAGTACTGTGAGGCAGCACCTCAATCTAAACAATGCAGAGCAGCTGTGCAGGTAGGTGCAGCCGATGGCCCATGTGCACAGCCCTTATAGGTGTGCTGGGCAGGCAGGCACTGAAAGGAGTGCTGAACTGCTAGGTAAATCCCCTCCCACCTGCCCCACCCCTTCTGCACACACACACACACACACACACACACAAACCCCCCTGGCCTAAACCTTCTCCAGGTCACCTGGGACCCTGGACCACTACATGACTCCACAACCCAAGGTTAATGCCCAACACAGCAGGGGATCCCCCAGCCAGGACAAACTTCACCTAAGCAATTCTCATTCTAAAGTGTTGGGTGGAGGGCTAGCCATGGACCTTGCTTTAGGGGAGGGTAGGATGCAATCACTGCAGGGGTGGAGTGGGGTGGGCCAGCTGTCCCCTGTCTCTTTCTGAGCCCTCCCTACCCACTGCACTGTTCTTGCTAAAGGTACCAGGGCCCTGTGCTGCTGATCCGGAGAACCAAGGACGAGATCATCACCACCACGTGAGTGCCTGGGAGCCTCTGCCCTCCCTGATCCCAGAGAGAGCTGGCAGCTTGCTTCCCTACCACCCACCAGCAACCACAACATCCAGCCTCTCCAGACCTCTCTAGTGGGCTTCCTCTCCTCAGGGTTCCTGAAGACATCATGTCCAACCGAGGCAATGACCTCCTGCTGAAGCTCCTGCAGCATCGGTGAGAATTTGGGCGTGTGTGTGTGCACGTGTGTCCATGTGGGTACTGACACGGAGGGACAGGGAGGAAAGTCCAGGGATGGGAGTGAGGAGAACTGGTCCTGACCTCTTCTCCCGCCTCCCTCTCCAGGTATCCCCGAGTGATGGCCGAGGAGGGCCTTCGAGTGGTGAAGCAGTGGCTGGAGGCCTCCTCACAGCTGGAGGAAGGTGAGAGCAGTTCTGGGGAGGCCTTTGGGTGGGGACATTGTAAGGTCTGATGGCTGAAGGGGCCCTCCTTTGTCTCCCTGATCAGCCTCGATTTACAGCCGGTTGGAGGTGGAGGAAGACTGGTGTATGTCTGTCCTCCGCTCCTACCAAGCAGAGCATGGGCCTGACTTCCCCTGGAGCGTGGGTAAGGAGGTTAAGGGGGAGGGAAGGAAGAAGAGAGTAAATACCCAGATGGGTGGCCCATGTCTAAGCACCTTCTGACTGCAGGTGAGGACATGAGTGCAGAGGGACGACGGCAGCTGGCCTTGTTTCTGGTGAGCTTGGGTGGGAGGCAGGAAGAAGGCGTTGGAATGGTACCTTGCAGGGAGTGGGTGGTGGGCTTAGACAATGGGGGCTGGCAGGGTTTTCATGTTGCAGCTCCCCACTTGTGCTGCATCTCACCCACCCCACCCTTTTTCCTCAGGCTCGGAAGCATCTGCACAATTTTGAAGCCACGCACTGCACCCCACTCCCGGCCCAGAACTTCCAGATGCCCTGGCATCTCTAGGGACTATGCTGGGATGCATTCTAGAGAATTGGGATGGGAGAAGCAAGAGGAAGGACCCTCTTATATGTGATTCTTCATGTTGCTGTTTATAATTTGTGAAAGTGTGGGGGGACCATTCCCCTTTCTTGCTGTTCCTCTTGCACGTTTTTCCCTCTTTCACCTGGCAGTACCCGCCCTTTCCTAATACACTCCCTGCATTAAATGAATGGATTATTCCTAATGATTAATAAAAAGGTATTTTTTTTACTGGCTGGCTGATTGTGTGACTTCCCAAATGTCCAGGGAGCCAGGGGCTGGCAATGATGAAAGCTGAGGCCTCAGAGGAGCTATTGTACTACTAGGTGACCCAGTTTAACCCTACCTATCCATTGCACCCTCAGGCCTTCAATCTCTAACCTGAACTGTCATTATGAAATGGGCCACCGAGCCCCACCCTTTCCTGGTATGTCTAGCATTCTCACCACCTTGTACCCTTCCCATAAGCCTCTCTGGCCACTGTCCCTTTCCTCAGTTCATCCTGCATACCATGAACCAAGGAGCCCAGGGGTGCCTCAGGCTTACAAGCTTTGTTGTTTTCAAAGCACTTTCTAGTGTCTGATTTTACTTCCTCAGCTAGACTGATTTCCGAGTTCAGCTGCGTGGTTTCACCATGAGAACCCCCAGTTTTCTTGGTCAGCTTTTACTCCTGAGGAATTTGGGGGGCAGCCCGCTCCCCACATCTTACCCAGCAGACCCTGCACACCTTCCTCATGATTTCATCCAGTGTCTCTCCTCACATCCTTTTTGTAATTCAACAAACATGGGGCACCAGGGACTGAGGGCCAAGGACTCGTCCTCCCAAGCAGAACTTTGCATTTTGGCATTCCTGTTAGAAGAAAATTAATTAGGTTAGAACTGAGGAGGTTGGTTCCTGTGTAACTTCCATCCTATTTCTAATCTGTGGACCTCTTGGAAAGAATGAGAGTCCCTCTTCCAACCATGACCACCTTCTTCCCTTGGTAACTTGTCTTACTGATGAAACACTTCAATTTTACCACCCTGGATGCTCTGTTTTGAGCAAGATACTTAAATGTGGGTGACAAGGTTCTGACACTCTAAATGCATTCTCTGGCTGATCTATATCTTGGATCTCAGTACATGAAGCTCCTCTGTGATGTCAGAGGGAGGGAGAATAGGGGCTGTATCTGTCCCAACCTAGTCAGCAGTTCCTGAAGGGAGTTTGTTTATTGTTAAGTGTCGTGGAGTCGATTCTGACTCATAGCACTCCTGTAGAGGGTTTCAGAGGAGCGACTCGTGAGTTTGAACCTCCAACCTGAGGTTCAAATCTACCTTGTGGTCCAGCACATTATTCTGCAGCCCCATTGTCGTTGTTAAGTGCTGTCGAGTCGGTTCTGACTCATAGTGACCCGTACAGGGTTTCCAAGGCTGTAACTCTTTACGGGAGCAGAAAGCCTCATCTTTCTCCCGTGTAACAGCTGGTAGTTTTGAACTGCTGACTCGTAACTACTACACTACCAGAGCTCCTTAGAATTCCATTGTTGTTGTCATTAAGTGCAGTTGAGTCGATTCCAACCCATAACGACCCTGTATAAGGTTTCCAAGGAGTGGCTGGTAAGTTTGAACCACCAATTTTGTGGTTCAAACCGACTTTGCAGTCCAGTGCATTAGCCTACACTACCACACCAGGACGCCTAGGACTCCGCTGTTGTTGTTGTTATATGCTATGGAGTCGGTTCCATTGGTGGGAATCTGAGACTCATCAAGTGATAATGATCCTTCAAGTTTGGGTCAGAAGAGGAGAGGTAACTGCACCTTCAACAAACATCAGCTAGCTGATACTCTCCTCTGTCCCACCTCCTAGGGGGCAAAACAGTGTGGGAGATGTGGCGCACGGAGCTATGGAAGCAGCTGCATGGTTCTGAACCCCCTCCCAGATCTACCAGAGCACTTAATCACCTGGAAACCAAGTCTCTGTTCAGCTCCTGGAACCTCCTTAAATGCAAATAGGGGACATTCAGCCCTACCTCCCACTTCTGGAGACCTGCCCCTACCTCCATTCTTCCCCTCCTTCTTGAGCATTCTGTAGAGAATGGTGGATGCCATGAGGGTCTCTCAACCATACTGCGGACCCTTAGATATTTGAAGTGGGTGGGGAGAAGGAAGGCTCAACACATGGATCCTGGACACCCCTACCCTGATCCCAGGGGCCTCAGTCTATCCTCTCAGATCACTCCTTACCTGATAAGGCTCAAATGAAGAACGGGAGGTAACTTCTCACAATGTTTAGCTGGGTTCCAGGAGAAAACCAACTTGGATGTAGTCCCCACAGTTGCTGGGGTTCTGGGCCCTGCTGTACTGGGTATTAGATGAGAGGCCTGGATGCCCAGATAGGCCAAGGGGCTGGGAGAAAAGGGACTTAGAGTTTGGTAGGAAGCCTAGGAAGAGGTGATGTTCTGGACCACCCTCAACCCATCCTATCTCATTGACCCAGGTTCTGTGTGGGTCAGCTGGACTCAGCTCTAGATTGTGTGCTTGGGCTGAGACTCTGCTTCTTGCTCCCAGTAGGGGCATGTCTCAGAAACTGCTGTTCCAAGTGAGTGAGAACCCCTAGGATGTGCAGACCAGGTGTTGGGTACCTAGCCATTCATTCATGCAGTCAGTTACAAACCATCACAGTTCTCTCAGGAGCCTAGTCGTTATCATGCTCAATTCATTTATATTCTGGATAGGAAATAGACAGGTTAAAGACCCCTGTCTATTTCTTATTCAGATGGCAGTTCCATGCTGTGCCCCTCAACAGAAGCCAGATCTCTGCCCCCCTCTTTGGCCCCACTCCATTCCCCTACTATAGCTAGCGTTCTCAAGCCCTGCCTACTTTAGTTACTCTCCTACTAGCCCCTAAGTATCCTTTGGCCAAAAAGGAGGAGTACCTGGTGTGGGTGGACTTAATGTTTGCTGCTGTCACCAGGGTGACTATTACAATGCCCAACTCTTCACTCTAGAAAGCCTCTGTGGAACCCATCACCCTGGCAATGAACTCTCTGGGCTCTGAGGCCAGGAGAGTAACTAAACTAAGTAGGCAGGACTTGGGAACAGATGCTAGCTACAGTAGGGGAATGGAGTGGGGCCATGCCCAGTGGTGGGTTGGAGGGAACAAGATTGAATCAAGGGTGAGAAGAACAACTCCGAGCCCACATCCCTCCAAAGAAAGCCATGTCCATCCTGGAAAATACTAACAAGGTCCATCCTCCCAGGGCCCATGATCACTGCAGCCTGTCCGTGAAGGCCCCTCAGGGTGACCGCCTCCTGGGAGGTCAGCCTCAGCTTCCCACAGCCCCCCATCCTTGGTGTAAAGTGCCATCAAGTCGGTTCTGGTTCATAGCTACGTGTATAGGGTTCTCAAAGAGCGGCCGGTAAGTTTGAACCATTTACCTTGTAGTTAGCAGTTCAAGACCCCCCCCCTAGTCCTTAGTTGTGGCCATATTCAAAAAAGGGGTTCACAGGGTGTTGCATAAGTCACTATGTGTACATTTTCCCTCTGCTTCAAGGACCCCTGCTCTGATTCCTTTTGTCAATCACTCTTTCCACTCATTCATTCAACAGATATTTGTGTTTCTCCCTAGTTTTCCTTTACAGACTTTTCTTTAATACATTTTAATAATGAATGCATTTTAGAATTGAGGGGGTAGAGATGGGATGTAGTTCCCTGGCTTGTGAAAAGAAATGAAAGGCCTAGTGGTCTGCTTCAGTTAAGAGCACAGCCAGGAAAGCCTTTGGAGGAGCTCCACTCTAACACACGAGAGACCAACAGTCAGAATGCACTAGCCAGCAACAGCTTTGAGGCTTCTTTTTACAAAGTAGCATGCATTTTCCTCCTATATTGGTGCACACCTTTATCTTTTGTTGTACATCTCCTTTTTGGTGTGCAACTCTTTCTTCCCATAGTCCTACTACCACCACCACTATTCATCCTTCCATTCTCAAGCCATGATTCTTGGGATAGCCAGGGAATCCAACTGCTGGGCTTTCCCTGAAATTCCAGTCAGAAAATTGTGACACACAGTATGGTTCAACACCAGAGTACCTCACATTGCCTTAAAAAACAACACTGTCAAGTCAATACCCAATCATAGTGACTCCATAGGTTTTCTAAGACTGTAAACCTTTGCGGAACCAGATAGCCTCATTTTTCTCCATTGGAGGGATTGATGGGTTTGAACCTTGGCTTTTGAGAGTAGCAGACCAATGCTTAACCACGACACTACCAGGGCTCCCATGACCTACTGACCCTTACAGTCAAAATCATAAGTCTCCCGCAGAATGTTCTACTTCCACTAATCAGGCGAGTTGAGGACCAATGGAGTTGGGGACCAAGCAGATCTGGACAGAGCATCTGAGGGCGTCTCCGTCGCAGCGCAGCTGATGGAATCGGTCTGGGAGACATGGTCGCGCCACAGCGCCACCTTGCGTAGGTCCTGACGCTGGGCAGGCGCTTCTCTGGTTTCTTGCCGACACCTGGCCGCCCCCGCATCCTTAGAGGAGCTCTGAAGTGCTGTCAGGTGCGAAGAGAAACTCGCCGTGCTGGAGTCCGTGGGCGCCGGAGAGATCATTTCCATTAACCCGCAGCTTGAATGGGGCAAGAGAAGGTGGGACGAGAGGCTCTGGACTCCCGGAGTGGCGCTATAGGATCAGCACTGGACTGCGAACCGCAGGGTCGGCGGACTATGCAGGGTCGCTATGAGTAGGAACCGCACTTAACAACAAAGGGGCACGGAGCACGGGGCTGAGGAGCTGGTGACTCAAGACCCAGATATTCTTGCTTTGGGATTTCTAACAGAGCTGCGGCTTTCCCATCTTGGAAAGTGGTACTACCGACCACTCACTTTTGCAAATGTTCTTCCCTCTCCCCACAAATAATCTGAAGCCAAATCTGTCCAGTCTTCCTTCTAAATAAATATCAGATGTCTTTCCTCAGCTTTCATACTTCCCTTCTGCTAGACTAGGTCGCCACCTTGTGACTGAACTCAGAAATAGCTCCGAACTGGTTTCCGGGCCTACACTTTTTATTCTTTATTCTCCCGTGTCTTTGCCACCTCAGTGATCTTTACAAACAGACCTCTGATCATGTTACTCATTTGCTGAAGCCTTTTGGTCAGTGATTTCACTGTCTCGGTGCTCCCCTGAAGTGTTCTGTCCTCTCCTCACCAAGACTTGTTGACTTGCCTTCCCTGCTAACCTATCTGCCCTGTGAGGGCAGGGACTTTATGCACTATTGTATTCCCAGCACCTGATGCAGTGATTCAGTAAATACTGTTGAATGAATATGAAAGTCCCCTGTCACTTCCCCAACTCACTCCCCCCTTGCTGGGCGCCTACCCCTGAGCCAGGATATTAGACCCAGACTGTCTGTGGGTGAGAACACCCTGTTCCTCAGACCTTTCTGGCACTGACTCCACCTGAAACTAGTGTTGCTTCTCTCCTTCCTCTTGGCCAATCTCTCTTGCACTTATATAAGCCCAAACTAGGGGCTGGTGAGTAATCAAGCATTTCATGGCAGACCTTGCAAGTAGCCGGAGTCTGGGACCCCTAGGCCTCCACAGTACCCTCCAAACCCTGTTCATGGTGCTCTTATTAGTGCTGGTCATGATGAGCTTGGTATTTGGTAAGTGATTTTGAGGGGTTAAAGGGGTCTCATGGTCTGCAGAATGAAGACTCCTACAGACACCAAGTGACTGGGCGCATCTGCCCAGGACACTAAGGTGAAGCCAGGCAGGCAAGAGGATGAGATAGGGGGACATGATAATGGGTTGACGGTCACCCTGAGGGAGATCAGGCTGTGGGCAACCTGAATGAAGATAATAAAGGGATTCTCTTCAAATCTGAAGGCAGATACAGAATAGGGAAGGATGGGGAATATGCTAGGTAACAAAAACAGGATCCACAGGGTAGAACACGGCCTAATCCAAGTGATGGATTCCTCAATTAACTGCAAAGCACCATCTGCATGGAAGCAGGATTTAAAGTAGTCAGCAGCTGCTTCACACCAAGCGCTCTGCTGGGTCGTGTGGTTTGGGTCTGGGACCAGAGGAAAAGGGACATGTAAACATGTGTACAGTTGGGGAGGGGGAGCAGAGAATGGGGTTTTTGTAGGCAAAATTTAGTATGAATCTGTCTTGTGATTGTTGTTGTTGTTAAGTGCCCTCAATTTGCTTCTGACTCATAGCCACCCTGTATAGGGTTTTCCAAGGAGCAGCTGGTGAGCTTGAACTGCCAACCTTAAAGAATTAACCCATAGCACAGCAGGCCTCTTATTTAGTGAGAGTCACTAAACACAAGCATGTGATCCTGGGCTGCTTGAAGTTTCCTGCCTATTGTAGAGCTTCTCCCTGCCCTGTGATGCAATCTTGTTTTGATCCAGATTAAGAAAGCATGTTCAAATGAGAGTGATCAGGCTGGTGGAGGACTGAGAAGTCAAGTCCCAGAAGGAGTGTATTAAGAGGACTGGTTAGGGTTGGAACGGGCTGCCTTGGCCTAATCTCTTAAATTGGAGGCTTTCAGAGAGCTAGGCACATATTGGTGGTGGTGGTTCAACTACGAGTACATGCTGAGTAATGAGTGAATTCTAGGAATCTCTTCAGCTTTCTGCCTAGGGTAGGAAGTGAAGCAATGAGAAGTCTATGAATGAATGGATGATTGGGGACTGGCCCAGGAACTTCTGTATGGGGAGTTAAGGATGGAATAATAGGGTCGACTGGCCTGGAATTGGGTGGGTGAGCGCTTGGGTCAGTACTCCCCTGTGTTCTAGGTAAATTCGCCGTCATCGATCAGCAACCCCCTCTTCTGTTGCCCAAGTATCTGCGCTGCTATCGATGCCTCTTTGAGACCAAGGAGTTGGGGTGCCTTCTGGGATCTGACATCTGCCTCGTCCCACGTGGCAGCAGCTGCATCACACTCCACATAAAGAACAGTAAGCTGACTCCTCTCATGTGGGTCCAGCCCTCTTCCAAACCCCAACTGTGATCCCCACAAACTTAAAATACTGTGCGAGACACGCCCTACCTCAATTTCCAGTCCCCCCTTTCTACCACTTTCAGTGTTGAACCAGATCCACGGGCCTTTCCTCAGGCTTCCTGTTCCCCTACCCTCTGTATCCGTCTGAGGTAGTTACTGCCAGACTCATTCTTCCCCTACATCTTTGCTTCTTCCCAGCTTTCTTCACTGGCCTCACCTTATTCTCCCTGCCCCTTACTGGTTCATTTTTACCAAGTTTGGTCCTTAACTGTCTTCCCATTTCGTATACTCTCCCTGGGAAATTCTATCTGCTTCCTTGGCTTCAACTAACAACCACATACTGCTTTGTTTTGAATCTGAATGTTCAGCTCAAACAGCTCTCCTTGTCAAGTTCATCTCTTTGTCTTCTGAACATCTCTGCCTCATTTTCAACTTAATGAAAATTGATTTACATCCCCTGGTTCCTCTTACACCGGATCCTCCTACTTCTCTTTAAGTTAACAAACAGCTTACATAACCCATACCATTGCCATACACTGTTCTAAGCACTTATAGTTTTATAGACTGACTCCAGAGATAGTGCTCTAACAGCCACTGTATGAAGTTGCCTTTGTTCCAATCCTTCATTCCAATCCTCCAATCCTCAGTGACCTTGTATAGATTTCCAAGGAGCTGCTGGTGGGTTTGAACTTGTGGTTAGCAGTCTAGTGCTTATCCTACAGCACCACATCAGGATTCTTTGCTGTAACATTCTCTACAGCATGAGCATATCAGAGCTGGTTTATCCAGCCTGCCTCTGATGGGCACTGAGGATTGAGGTGGTTTCTCATTTTTCACTCTCTTAAGCAGTGGACAACCCGAGACCTGACTTCTTAGGACTTGGGAACAAAGATTGTTTTTTTTCTTCTAGGATCTCTTTCTAGAAACAGAGAAAATCATATTATTTCCCTACTTTGGACCCATGAAATAAATGACAAACTTCCTCTCAGCAATTGAACCTCCAATAAATCTTTCCAACTTTTACTTACATGGCCCTAAGTGCTGGTTCTCCCTACTTTGTCAACAAATCTCTAAACTGAATGGCTCTCTCCAACCCTCCCCCAACAAACCCCCAACTTTCCTTGGGACAGTTCAGACTCACTGTGTACTCCTTACCCTGACAAGAGTAAGAATCTCTCCAGTTTTTGACCCACAGGGCAGGGGGTATGGTAAAACATTGTTGGAATGAGAGGATGAGAGGATTTGGGGCCCTGCCCAGGGACCTCCCTATCACTGGCATCTCCCCCAGGTAGCAGTACTGACATCATGGTGAGCGACTGTCGCCGAAAGGAACAGATGCACGACTGCTCATATACCCGAACCTCTCCGGTATTTGGCTTCTGGATATATTCACAATGCTGCTTCCTGGATTTCTGCAACGAACCTCAGAACCGAGTGCTCTCTAGTCCTTAGACCACTGGCGGGGAGGCATAAATACTGTTTTCAGTGACCCTCCCAACTTCCACCTAGCCAGGAAAACCTCTGGTCCCTCACACCAGCTCTCCCTGCCTCCCTCCCTTGAGTCACCTGACCCTAAGTTTAGTTTTTTTCCTTTTAGTGGTTTCCCTCCAACACCCTTCTGTATCTCTCCCCCAGAACTTTCTGAAGTTCCCCATCAGGTCCTTACAATCTGACATCTTTCCTGACATCTTCTTCCACTTCTCCCTCCACATCCCCAGAAGCTCCTCCAAAATAAATGTGTGCAAACTGTTTGGTGTATGTAGCTCTTCTGGGAGTGGGGATACTGGAGGTTGTCCTATGTGACTGTCCCATCATGGCTCCCAACCCTACTCTGCTCCTGCCCAGCTTGGATGTCTCCCATTCAGCTCTAAGCTGAAAACGATGGAGAGGAACTCTAAGTCTTTCTATGGTGAAGGTTTAAAACGTACTGAGCATCCTTGGAAAGAGTGGTATGGGAGCTGGAGGGTGGACTATGGGGGCTCAGTGCCACCAGGAGTGGGGCTGTGAAAGGGCCAGGCCCAGGCCCAGGGGAGAGGAGTGGGAGAAGGCTGCTCTGTGGAGGCGATACTTGGTCTAGCAGACTCCTGACCTCTGTGGTCCCCAGGTCTGGTTTCCCTCTACCAGGATGGTGGCAAGCTTCTCCCTGATTTGAGAGTTTTAAAACTGTCTTCTAGTTTGACTTACTAGAGTTATATAAACCTGAGTCTTTCTTATACTAAAGTTGAAGTCATAGGGAAAGGTAGGCTCAGAAAGAGGAGGAAACAGAGAGGTTTACCTTTCTGACTTCAACTGCTTCATAACCTGAATATTGTCAGTTTTCATGTCTCCTGCCAAAGCAGAAGCCATTAAGACTAGCCTCATCTGTACAAAACATATAGCTAGACCATATGCTGTATTGTTATTTATATCAAGCACACAAATAGGCAAAACTCATCTAAGTCAGCACAGCGACCACCCCTGAGTTGGGGGTAGTGCCTGGGTGGGACATGAAGGCTGCTTCAAATGCTGGCTGACTTTTGTTCTGATTTGAAAGTTGATTGCATAGGTGTATACAAGTTACAATAATCTGTTTTATCGTATGTACAAATTCCTGTTGTCATAAAGGTTTAAATAGGCCAAAATTTTGTGTGCAAGTTAACCTCTAAGGTGTTTCTTTTTTGGGAGGAGGGTCCCAAAGGTCCTGCTGAATACAAAAGGCTTAATAGCACATTCATATACATTCTCTCAATCAGGTGACAAGTGTGGCTCAGACCTAAGTACCTCAGTGGCAGAGCAGTGTGCCTAAGAATTACTAAATGTATGGGAAAAGTCATTACGAGTACTCATTGTTTTCTATATGCTTGCATTTTTTCTATTAAAAAATATTAAAAGATCCAAATACTGCAACCCCACCTGTGCACCCTGCAATTTCCTCTCCCAAGCTGAACTTCTATAGTGGGAATCCGGAATAGCTGAATCCTTGAAAACACATTGGGACAGGCCAAGAACTCAAGCCCTGGAGGTGACTCCAGTATGTGGGCCTAAATCCTTCAGTTTGTTCCCTAGTCTTCATTTAGAGAACCTTTGTTTCCCACCTCACAGGTGGAAAAACCTAGCATTCTTTAGGTTTAACGTTCTAGATTTGGGGGAATATGTTTACAGTTGGGAAGAGGGAGTCACAATCTCTGTTTTTATCTCCAGCTGAGCAGAGTGGGATAGATATGGATCCTTTGGAGGGCAGGCTGTGAGAAAGCCACAAAGGCCACGTGGAATGGGCAGGGCTCTACATTTGTGTTTGAATCCCACAAACAACGTGACACAAACTTAGCCTGGTCAGTTTATTGTGGAAGGAAACTGGGAGCTGTAGAGCAAAGCTGGATGAATCCATGGCAGGAGAGGAAGTGGTAGAGATCGGTGAGGCTGCATATTCAGCTCAGCACTGGCTCTTAGAGATAGGCACAAGGCAACGGAAGCAGAGCTGGATGTGAATTGAAGTGGCAGACAACCAGACTGAGAAGGGACTGGGAAAATGAAGAGGGATGGTACACTCAGATGGTGGGAAAGGAATGAAGGGAACCATTGGTGTCTTGCACAGGTCAGTCTGGGGGAGCCCACACTTGAGATTCTTTGCTAGGATGAGGAGAGCACAGCATTTGTGGCATCGCCAGAGGAGGGCATTCAAGAAAAGCCCTATAAATACTGGAGATGCAAAGAAGGGAAACCTCAGAAATCCCAGAGACCAGGAAATGTGCATGTTCCCAGAGAGGGCAGTGCAGGATGCTGGGCTGTTAGAGGAGAGTAGCTAAAACACAGACCACAGGAGAGGTAAAGAGTCAATGTCCAGCCTGGGGAAGAACCAAAAGACCTGACCTATTGAGAAACAGGTAGGTGCGGCGCAGGTCAGCAATGGACAAGCCTAAGGTTGGTGGCAGGGTGGCCAGAGGTTCCAGGCCTTCAGGCTCCATCCCAGCATGGAAGCTGGGAAGTGGCAGGGAGAGGTTCAAGGCCTGGTAGAAGTGTTGGATTTGAGACTCAGAAAAGGGCAGGGCCTGGGGCCTGTCAGGGAGTTCAGCTGGAGGACTCTGGAGCTGAGGACTGGACCAAGAGTTGCAATAATCATACTGACAGCACTGGGCCTGGTACCAGTACTTCATGTAGGTAGTATGCTGTTCTTGGCAGCGGTAGGAATGGTACTGTCCACAGGCTCGGATGATGAAGCGAAGCTTGACCTCTGGAGAAGAGGTGATAGTCAGTAAGCCCTGCTGCCTTCCATAGTCCCCAAACCTGGACCCCCAACCTTCCTTCACCCTATCCTTCACCAAGATGGGACTTTCACCCTAGTCTCTTTCAGAAGGGGCCAGAAAAAAAATAGTTCAGCTTGGCTCCCCAGAACCCCAAGCCCCACTTTCCAAGGTCTTCTTCCTTTCTTCTCTACCCCAGACATTAAGTAGACCCCAACGACAATAGGGAGACCAATGCCTGGGCTATCTTATCTGCAGCCCCATTTTGGGGCTCAACTCACCATAATAGATGGTAATCACCATGCATGGGGACGAGCTGCTGACAGTACACTTCTCTGAGCCTGAAATGCAACCTACAGCAGGGTCTTCTAAGAGGCAGAAGTGGCAGGTGCGGACATCAGGAACAGCTGGGGGAGAAGACGAAGTGGTGGGTATCTTAACTCATTATCCAGCTCCCTGTCCTACAGAGAGCATGGACATCCAGTGCCGCAGCCCCACCCCCAGCCTCCCTGTCCATGTTCCACTTACCCTTTCCTGCTGAGAAGCCCACCACAACCAGCATGTTTATAAACATTGAGACCTTCATTATGGTATTCTGGGATGAGGGGCAATCCCTGGAACTGTACTTTGCTATGACCATGAATTTTGATCCTGAGTTGCAAGTAGTTTTGACAAGTTAATTTGGGCAAGAATGACTGTAGGTACAGACCTATATTCCTGCCTAAGGCAGGAACCTGGATTGCAAAAGGAAGTTATTAATTTGGCAGGAGGGACAACATGTCCTCACCCACTAAGTCTGGTTCCTGAGTGTGGGAGTAGTGGCCCAGACAGCTAATACCTGGGCACCACCTGCCCTTTAGTAAATGGACTATCTTGGTTCTGCATGCCACACAAAGCCTTGTATCTCACCATGAGGATTCATGTGTTAGTGTTGTTTGTCCCTGGGACCACCTGCTATATTCCCTACACAAAAGGGTCAGACTCGGCTGCTGGAGTAAACTTTAGTCACCCACCCTGCATCCCCATGTTTCTGAGATGAGCATCTCAGCTCCAACAGAAATTCTGGATTGTGTCCTGTTTCTCTTCACCTTGTACAGTTTGGACCACTCTCCCTTTAAAACCCAAATTGAAAGACAACACTGTGGATTATGTTTCTTTCATATAAAAAGACCAAAAATGGTCTCCCAAACAACAAATAATTTTCTAATCTTTGAAACTCGATTTTTCTCTGGGTCTTTTCCTTGTGAATTTGTACTTCACACTCAGTCCTAGGAAGGATGCTCTGTTCTCCAAAAACAACACCCAAATCAATGGGGCACAAAGCTGTTCTGGTTTTTCAACTTTCACTCTCAGGGGTGGGTGAGCTCTGAGAGATCCCAAGGGTTGAGCATCCCACTACCCTCCCTTCCCCAATCCCAAGTACCAGCAGACTGGCTCATGGCCTTTTCTTCCACTTTATTTCATATTCCCGCCACAATAATGACTCCTTTAATTTAAACTAAAAACCACTGAGTTTTCCTGAAAGGGTGGCAGCAAAGGAACAAGGGTGTAAAAGACTGAGGAAGAGGTGGGGTGGGAATCAGCGAATCGTCTTGACTGGGCTCTTGAAGTTGCTGGCGGCTTGGAGCTGCAGCTGGTAGGCCATCGGGTGGATCTTGAAACCATAGAGCCTGGGCCGGGCAGAGGTCAAAGAGGCAGATGGGTGAATGGCCTGCATTCCTGTACTGTCCACCCCACCCACCCCACCCCACTGCCACTGTGAGCTTGCTCAGTGCTGAAGGGTAGTGGTTCCCAAAGTGCTTCACTAGAAAGTATTTGTATATATATCTTAAACATCAATTAAGACCCAAATTTTAGGACATACCAGTAATTCAATATACAACTGTACTTTTCTGTAACTGAAATAAAATGGATGTTCCAGGAAGATGAATCATATTGAACCTAGCCACAGGCTGAGCACCCAAGAAAGACAGTGATGACAATAACCAAACATCAAACTAGCTGCCCTTGACTCAATTTCATAGCAACTCAACCTGTGCTGAGCAGAACTGTTTCACAGGGCTTTCACTGGCTATGGGTTTTTGGAAGTAGATTGCTAGGTCCTTCTTCTAAGATGTCTCAGGGGAGGTTCAAACTGCCAACCTTTTCTTAGCTGAGTGCTAAGCTATTTGTGGAGAGTCCTGGTGTGGTGCTGTTGCATAAGCACTGGATTGTATAAGGTCAATCTGAACCTCAAGGTTGGCAGTTCAAACCTACCAGCCACTCCTCAGAAACCCTATACAGCAGGTGTTGTTGTTAAGTGCTGTCAAGTTGATTCCGACCCACAGCGACCCTATATAGGGTTTCCAAGGAGCGACTGGTGAGCTTGAACCACTGACCTGACAGTTCAAACGACTTTGCAGTCTGATGCATTAGCCCACAGCGCTACACCAGGACTTTCTGCCAAGTTTTATAACATCATTCACGGGCCTTACAAAATAATCAACTTAAAAATTAGCCTACTATACTTGGTCAAACATTTAATTAACTCACCCCTAATGTGATGGATAAGGAGCTCTGGTAGTGTAGTGGTTACGAATCGGGCTGTGAACCGCAAGGTCAGCAGTTCGAAACTACCAGCTGTTCTGCGGGAGAAAGATGAGGCTTTCTGCTCCCGTAAAGATTTACAGCCTTGGAAACCCTGTACAGAACTGACTCCACAGCACATAACAACAACTTGATGGAACTGTAGTTGCCTTGGTAGGGCTTGACCAAGTGATTTCAAGGACCTTACACGGCCCACAGGCTGGACGTTCCCCACCCCTGCTATACTGGGTTGCTGTGAGTTGGACTCAACAGCACCTAACTAACCATTTGCAGAGTCCTAGAATAACGCTGTAGAATAAGAAAGCTGGTGGTTCAAACCCACCAGCCGCTCCTTGGAAACCTTCTATAGGGTCCCCATGTTTTGATGTCAAGGAGCTCTGGAGCATAGTGGTTACCAATCGAGCTGCTAACCTCTAGGTCAGCAGTTTGTAACTACCAGCTGTTCTGCTCCCATCAAGATTTATAGCCTCGGAAAACCTGTACAGGGTCTCTGAGTCAGAAATGACTTCAAGGCACATAACCACCACCTCGTCCTGAGTCACTCAACAACAAACCATTTGCACTACCCAAAGACTGCAAGATAATAATTTGTTGTTGTTAAGTGCTGTCGAGTTGGTTCTGACTCAGAGCGGCCCTGTAAAAAAGGGTTTTTGAGGAGCGGCTGTTGAGACTGAACTGCTGACTTTGCGGCTTAAGCTGACCCTGCAGTCTGCAGTCCAGTGCTAAATCCTACAGCACCACACCAGGGCTCCATTAGGATAATAATACCTTATGTTTAAATGGAGTCCCGGTGTGATGCTGTAAGATAAGCACTGGACTATTGGACATCTGGCTATAGTGCTGTAGGATCCACAGTTCAAACCCACCAGGAGTACCTTGGAAACGCTATACAGGATTACTAGGAGTCAGAACTGACTGACAACTACATTTAAATCATGTGTCAAGTTCCTAAACAATTGTTCTAAGCAATTCGCTTATTCAAAATTGCCCTGTCAAGAGCAGTAGTCCCATTTTACAGATAAGAAAACTGAGGCATAAAGCAACTAAATAGCTTGCCTAAGATAACTTGGTAGAGAAATGCCCTGGCCTAAGAGAACCAGGGCCCAGTCCTACCCTCCCTTATATCTCCAGAAACTCTTGGGTCTTTTCTTTGACCCTTAGTGACTGTCCCTGTTCCCCACCTCGGCACAAACTGGTTGGCGGGCCGCTTGGGCCTGTACTCGGGGTGCACCATGAAGAGCATATGAGGAAAGCCAGTGCCGAAGTAGGCGCCGTCTGTGTGGTGATGCCTTGAAGACTTGGGTGTGTACACGTCCATGCATTTGGGGCAGTAGAGCTTCACCATGGCCTCCCCTGGGATGTCCGACAGGCCTGGAAGACAGCCAGACTCAGCTGATTGGGTAACCCCCATCCTGCCCAACCTTCTCCCAGGATTTGGGCCCCAACTTGCTAAGTCACAACACATTCCCAGGAACCTTCCATAGGCCACCCTTCCCTCCCTGAACACTCACCAATGGGAAGCATTGTCTGGTTCTCACAGTACACACGGGGACAGTAGCCAAAGTCTCCCTGCTGGTACTTTTCCAACTGAGATAAATAAAATGGAGGGGACTGGTACGTAGGTGTGAAGAAATGAGGTAACCCACATAGCGCTGACTCTCTCCTTAGCTCAGCCAGCCCAGCCCACATCACTGTGTCTCCCAATCCTCCTGCCTCTGTGTCCAGAGACCCCTTTTCTGGCTCAAATGGGCCCTCCATTCATTCCACTGTTTCCTCTATTTAGGAATGCTGCAGACCATTAGTCATTTGCCATTTGTTCTCTGAGGAATAGGCAGCCTATAAGAACTTTCCATCCAGGATCATGTCTGCCTCCCTGAAAACCACCTCTTCTCAACATGACCCGAAATCAGATCTTAACTCGCAAGCACAGGTTCTGGGATTCTTCCCTTCTTGTCAGCTAGACTCTTTGGCAAGTTTGAAATGTGTGACTTCTCACTGCAGAAACCTGTTTCTCTTATTGCCTCAGAGGAACTCAAGTGGGAGTAAAGAGGCCTCACCATCTGGGCGATGCCACGGTTAGTGAGGATGTAGCGGGCGTGGATCAATCCATACAGCATCTCAGCCGCCTGCTCAATCAGGTCACTCTGGTTGGGGTTGTCTTCCAACTCTTCATCTGAAACAAGTTCCAGCCCAACTTCAATCATTCAGCTTTCCTGAAGGTGGCTCCACCCAACTCAGAGGGGCTACTGGCCACTAAATTTGCCTACCATCTACCCTTGAGTCTCACCCCACCCATCACTTAGGCATTCAACTCAAAATCCTGGGTCTCTGACCCCTCCATTAACACAGGGCATCTCTGCCTTTTTTCCACGTATCTTCAGTCTCTGTTCTGTTTGTTCTCCCTTGCCCCCTTTGCAATAGATAAATGCACAGAAGTCAATGAGGAAGGTGAAATTTAAGACTAGAAAGTGTAGAGCACACACACAAAAAAGTTAGAAAACATTACATTGCGGAAATTGGCATTATGGGATAAAACTGAATTACAGTCAAAGAGCATGGGAACGTCACACATTTCACTAAATTAGGCAAGAGCCAGGAGGGGGATCAAAATAAAACAGGAGATTTTGTGTTAATAGTCCAGAGGAAATTTAGAAATACAATAGGTGAATAGAGATTTAAAGAAAAGAGGAAAAAAAAACAAATAACTAAAACACAATCCTGAGGATGACTCACCAGGCTCCAGGTCCAAGATCATGTCCAGAGCTTGTCGATAGTGGGGTACCTGTTCATTGAGTCCTGTAAGGTTGAACTTGTCTTGAATATAGTCTTCATCCACCTGTGTCAAGAAGTGGAAGTAAAGAAGAAACCCACAAAGAAATCCAGGCTTTGACTTGGACATGCTGCCCTAACTCAGTCCTTGTCCTCAACACACCGTTTCTGCTTCCCTCATCCCTCACTCTCAACTCAGGAGAGTTCCTTCCCCTAAAAGCTTTGGCCTTTCTTTTCTACTGAGAATTCCTCCTTGGAGTAATATTCAAGTTCTCAATCCCTACACCTGCACCTGGTTCTCTAGGAATCAGTTTAGTCCTCTCTTTATGGAGTGGAGTGACTCCATATGATAAGCACAGGACTGCAAACCACAAGATCTGCAGTTAGAGCCCAACAGCCTCTCCACAGGAGAAAAATGGAAGCTTTCTCCTCCTGCAGTGATTTAAAGCCTCAGAAACTCTACACAGGGGTCGCTAAGAGTTGGATCTGACTTGCAACAACTTAGGAACAGCTGGCTCTCTGACGAAAGTGGAGGATGAACAGCTTGGGTTCTGAAAGCAGTTACAATCCCTTATGTTAACAAAGAATTTTGCTCTCATTATAAAACATTTTAATAGGCAGTTAACTTCAATTTTCCTTAACAGTCACTGGAGACAAGTACTATCCGTAGCATTGTAGTCATAAGAAAAGTAAGACACAGATTTATGTTTCCAACATACTACTGTTGGAGGATGGAAGGCTTGGGGCTTGCCACTTCACTACAGATTAGTGGAAGAACTGAGAAGACTCTTCCTTGACAAAAGAGAGTTTTTACGGAAGTATATGGGAAGACTATTAGAAAACCGAATATGCTGGGGAATGTCTGGGGCCAGACTATCTGTGGAGATATACTGGCAAATACGGAAGTTGAGGAAAACTCACTTCACAGAAAAATTCATTGCCACGGAGTCCACAGAACCAAGAAATCCAGGACACCTCCTCTGAACTGCTCATCTTCACGTCAGCTGGAAAAATAAGGACGTCAGTAAAGACAGTGACCCAAAGCTTACCCTCCTTCCCTCTGGGATCCTCCCTCCTCCCATACTTGGCCCTCAAACCACGGAAGAAATCTGGGGCCTGCCTATCTTAAAACCCCAGACTCCGGAGTATCTTTCTCTAACTTCTTTTATTTACAACGCAGTCCCTTTTGCTGTGTTGTCCTCTCGTAAGCAGCCAAGAGAACTGACCATCAATCCTACCCACATCCCTAGTGCTCTTAAACACCAGGCCCCTCTACCGTCCAGTTCAACTCCAGCAGAGCCCTCGGCTGCTCCATACCACCACAGGGCTCTGCAAGTTCCGGAGCCTTTTCCAAAGTTTATCCTTCCTGGGAAAGAGTCCGGCCTCTCCTTGTCTCACGGACTTGGGGTGATTGTCAGGTCCCGAAGCCCAGACATCCAGCCTCCGCCCCTCAGGACACCCCTCCCTCCCTCAGTGCGGGACCGGGTCACTTCCTTCCCCGCCCCCACATTAAAGCGCAGAGACCCCATGTGCAACGCCTACGAAGCTGGAATACTGGCGCGGCGACAACCTCAATCTCACCTGTTGGACGGGGACCGGGACCGGGGCGGGGAGGGGAGTCGCTGTTTCCAAGGAGCGGCGGCGACCGCTACAACGAAGGCCGTGGACCCGACCGCGGCAGGCGAAGCGCGGTGGGGGGGGAGTGGAAGTTGGTGAGGGTGGGGAAAGTGCAATGCGCAAGCGCCAAGGATCGGGCGCTGCGGTGGAAGCCGGGAAATAGAGTCCCCAGAAGGGAGAAACTGGCAAAACAAGTGGAAAGTGAACTACCAATCCCAGAAAGAGCACAGGATCCTGGTTCGCTGGGCCCGCGAGGAAGACGCTCGGGGGCGGGGCGCAGTGCGACGCTACCGGAAACAGAAGTCCAATAACACCTCAGGACCAGGGAGCCTGGGAAATATAGTTCTAGGCTCTTGGGACGGTGGGGCCAACAGGGGGCGGGGAAAGGAGCGAGCAAGTCTGGGATTCTGGCCTATGGGTTTCCTCACAGTTCAATCCTCAGGTCCCGCTGCAGCGTCTCTACCCACAGGAGTTACGCGGTTTGCAAAAAACGTATAGTGCGCGAAAAAACACTGTAGTCCCGCTCATAGTGTGCCCAGTTTGTCCCCTAAATTTTTTATCGCCTGGTAGGTCTCTTGTCGGAATCAGACCCGCCCCTGGAACGTTCCCCTCCCCACGGGGCCCACATTTCACCCGGGGCCAGTATGCTAACCTGAGGTGGCACCAGTCATCCTGGCACTTGTCCCCTTGCACTTTTCCATATCCTCTTTGGACTTGAATGGGGCCTTCTGCTGAGAGTTCTTAAGTGTGACCTTCGAACCCCGACCACAGTAAGGGTTAGGGGCAGCGTGATGTTACTTCATTTCACAGCTTCTCGGCATTCCACAGATCTACCAACTCCTCTGGGTCTTTCTTAACCCAGGGGGAGGTCCCCCAGCTCCAGAAATGAGCTGGGAGCAGGGGGCCACCTCGAGCGAGGCGAGGGGCATTGTGGGGCGTTATGTAAAAGTAGGACCCCAACCGACAGGTCTTCCTTGGTCCTCGCGCCACCTGAGCACGCGGCCTTTTGTGCATAGACTATTGGAAAGACTCCAGGGCGGGAAACTGAACCGGCGTTTTGCGCACGCCTGCGCACTGAAGTAATGATGGATTTTTCTTCTTCTACGTCTTCGCCTTATTACGCATGCGTCTTGTGTTGTGTGGCTGTTTGGGTGTATTGTCTGTTTTGATTAGAGTAGCGCTTTTTTCCGTACGGAAGTTACAAAAGAAAGTAGGTGGAGCTTCTTTCCGGAAACTGCTTCCGGGGAAGTGTTGCGATTGTTTTTTTGAAAGACAGACTCTTGAAGTTGTAGCGAGGACGAATTAAAGTGCCGGCTTGATATGTTGTCGTTAAGTACCATCGAGTCTGTTCCGACCCATAACGACCCTGTATAGGGTTTCCGAGGAGCGACTGGTGACCTTGAAATGCCGACTTTGCAGTCCAGCGTATTAATCCACATTTAATCTTACTGGTCGGAACCGACTCGGCACTTCACAACAATAACAGCAATCTTACTGGTATGTCGTATGGTGTGCGAAAGTGAGTTTAGTGAAAGGCTTTTACTAATTATTTTTATATGGGAACCGGGTGGGAGAGGAGAGGGGGCTTAGGATCTCTGGGCAACTCATTTAATTTTCTTAGCTGATGTTTAGCAAGTAGCAGGTTGCTTTTGTAAGGTTACCTTTTTTATATGTGACCTATGGCCCTTATGCCCCTCCGGGTTGTGGGCCCACTTTGAGGGTGGGAGGCGGGGTCTTTGATTCTAAAGTTACTTTTCCTCATTACGGCAGTTTTCTGGAGGTGGATCTGGTCACTGCAGGGGTCTTCCGGGAGTTGGCTTGTTTCAGTCTTCTCCGGCCCAGTCTTACTCAGAAGCCATGTCCAGGCCCTCCCTCATCACTTTCACCCCGGCCAGTGATTCTGGCGACTTCTGGAAAGATGGACAGCAGCAACAGCCACAGCCTGAGGAGCCGAAGCCCGCCTTGGATGGGTCTGCAGTCCGTGCCTTCTACGAGTCCTTGATTGGAAGTGAGAACAACCCGCCTGAACCAGAGAGATCCCAGTCTGACCCTGCCAGGGAAAGAAAGAGGAAGAAAAGAAGACTGATAAGGGGGGCTGCGGCAGAAGCAGCGACAGCCTCAGCCTCAGGCAGACACGGTCAAGAGGAATCCCATGAGGCAGAGGATAAGATGACCCAGTGGATACTGAGAGCAGCTCAGGAGGGAGACCTGGCAGAACTCCAGAGGCTGCTGGAGCCCCGTGAGGCAGGAGGAGCTGGGGGGAATATCAACACTCGTGATGTCTTCTGGTGGACTCCACTGATGTGTGCTGCCCGAGCTGGCCAGGGGGCAGCTGTGCGCTATCTTCTGGGTCGAGGGGCTGCCTGGGTGGGAGTCTGTGAACTGGGTGGCCGGGATGCTGCCCAACTGGCTGAAGAAGCTGGCTTCCCTGAAGTGGCCCGCATGGTCAGAGAGAGCCATGGAGAGACGAGGCACCCCAGGAACCGGTGAGGAAACTTTCTCTCTTCCTAGCCCTGGTCGGTGCTGTGCAGCTTAATGCACTGGACTACAAGGTCAGTTTGAACTGCAAAGTCGGCAGTTCAAGCTCACCAGCTCCTCGCAACCCTATACAGGGTCACTATGAGTGGGAACTTAACAGTCACTCTGTACGTGAGGCCCCAGAATAGAGCTGAGGGGTCTCCTGCCCCAGTGTAGGTTGATAAGGCAGTGTTGTAGCATACTTACTTGGACAAACAACCTAACAGCTGTGTGCCTCAGATGCCTCGCCTGAGAAATGTGATGATAATAATAAGCTGCTTTCTCATAGGGTTGCTAGAGTTAAATGGGCTAATACATGGAAATTACTAGAACATAATTGTTGTTTGTTGCTATGGAGTCAATTCCAACTCACTGCCACCCCAACTGTGCAGAGTAGAACTCCATAAAGTTTACAAGGTTGTGATTTTCCGAAGGAAATTACCAGGTCTGTCTTCTAGGCACCTCTAGGTGTGTTGGAACTTCCAACCTTTTGGTTAGTGGTAGAGCATTTGTTTAACCTTTAATGTCACCCAGGGTCTTCTTCACCCACGTGTCGTTGTTGTTAAGTGCCGCTGAGTCAGGTCAGACTCACAGTGACCCTTATAGAGTCCTGGTGTGGCACTGTGGGTTAATGCGCCAGACTGCAAAGTCAGTTTGAACCACAAGGTTGGCAGGTTAAGCTCATCACAGCCACTCCTTGGAAACCCTATACAGAGTTACTGTGGGTCCAAATCCACTCCAAAGCAGTTAACAACAACAACAAGGCTTTAAAAATCTTTGTGGGAATAGAAAGCCTCATCATTCTTTTGCAGAGCAGCTGGTGGGCTCGAACTGCAGAACTTGTGGTTTGTAGTTTGTGGCCCAGTGCTTATTGTATGGTGCTCCCATTGCCACATAATAAGCACTTTATAAATTCTAATTGTAAGCATTACTAATTATTCCTTCCTTGCACCAAGAGCCTTGTGAGGTCTGGTACCACCTCTTCTCCCAACCATTCCTTTTAGGGTTCCTCGTTACTAAATGAGGAGAAAGGCAATTTGTCTTTTTTAGCAGAAGGCCTAAAAGGCCATGTCCCATTCTGCCAGCCCCTGCGGTCTCTGTAACCTTCACCTGACTCACAGCCCCCACCCCTCAACTCCTCTTCTTTCTCTGCAGGCCCCACCACTCACGTCCCCCCCAATATTGTGAGACCTGTGATGCCCACTTCCAAGATGTTAACCACTGCACATCCACCGCTCATCTGCTGTCACTGTCCCGGGGTCCCTGGCCCCCCAGCCTACCTCCTGGAGTGCCTGCCTCCAGTCCAGGCTTCAAGTTGCTGTTGAGAGGGGGCTGGGAACCAGGGATGGGGTTGGGGCCCCGAGGTGAGGGTCGTGCCAACCCTATCCCTACTGTTCTTAAGAGGGACCAGGAGGGACTTGGCTATAGATCAGCACCGCAGCCACGAGTCACACACTTCCGGGCTTTGGATACCAGGGCTGTGGCTGGGAAGGAACGAGCCCCTCGAGTGACCACACTGAGCCGGAGAGAAGAGAGAAGGCGAGAAGAGAAGGGCAGGGCGTGGGAGCGGGATCTGAGGACATATATGAACCTTGAGTTCTGACCTTGGTGAGGTCTTATCTGGTCTATGGCTGGAATCTGAACTTTGGCCCCTGACTTGGGCACTTTGGTTTCTTCTCCTTGAGGTATGCCTCTAGTCCCAGAGCCTCAGGTTTCAGGTCTGTCTTTTGGGAAGGAGGGGTTAGATTGAGAAATAAATCCATCTTCACCCTCTTTTGTGGTCTACTCATTTTTCTGGAAGCTGCTATGGAGAAGCCAAACAAATTGGCGAGCCACATTAGCAAAACCCATTGGAGCCAGAAGGAGCATCCACCTCTAGGTCACATGATATAGTCATCTCCCTGCCTAACTGGTTCACTTCAAGGCCTATGTCCTGCCAAGAGTGCAATAGCTGTTCTTCCAAATCCCTTGAACCCGGAGCCACTTAACAGTTCCATGCAAGTCTCATGACCACTCCAGGCAATTCAATCACTGACTTACAAAATATTCACATACTGTGTGCTAAGAATATGAGTAAAAGCCATTCATTTCCACCTAACTCTCAAGGAGATTACAGCTAGAGGTTGGAGAGAGCCCTATAATCAGATATAATGCACAGTGATGGGGGTGGAAGGGGGTCAGGGAAAAGCTCTAGAGGTGATAAAAGTGGGTTATGAATTGAGTAAAGATTTACATATAAGATTGTCAGCTTTATAATCAAGTCATACACTGTTTCATCTCATTGATTACATTGTCCTCCATACAACAATAGTTTACCCAGCTTCCTCCCTGTGGTTCCTATTTGCATTCCACCCTTCTCAAGTTTGTCATTAGGAAAACATTACCCTTTTGATTTTGAATGGTTGATCATTCCATGGTAAGCATGGTGTTGTTAACCCTGTCGTAAACCTATCTACTGCTTGGCTAAAAATTGTGCCACAAGTGAGTCCCTTTCCAGACCTGAAGGGGGTTGAGAGCTATAGTTTCAGGTTCCTCTAGTCTTTCTGACCAGTAAACCTGGTCTTTTATTATTATTAAATAATTTTGAGTTTTGTTCCCCATTTTCTCCCACTCTATCTGGGACCCTCTAATGTGATCCCTCAGGGCAGTTGGCAATGGTAGTTGGGCACTGTCTAGTTCTGGTCTCAGAGTGTTGTGTTCCATTAGTCTACTGGACTAATTGATTCCAAGTCTTTTCAGTTCTTATTACTCTTATGCACATAGACCAATAGCTGCACTTTAGACGGCTGCTCATGAGCTTAAATGATCCCAGACACTACTCACCCAAGCAGGATGTAGAACATTGTCTTTGTAGACTATGGTATGCCAATTGACCATGGTGTCCCCTGAGACTATGGTCCTGAGCCCCCAGGCCCATAAACTCATTGCCTTAGGATGTTTGAAAATAATCTGGGAAGTTTTCATTATTTTACCTGCTGTATGCTCTACCACATCACAGTTGTGTTTGCCAGAAAGGTAAATACTAGTGTACAGATACCCTCTTTCAAACACATTATTTGTGAGATATGCAAGTATATATATCCCACTCTTTCTTCCTTACCCATTCAGCCTATCTCAATCCATGTATCTATGCACAGAACACTGTTTTTCCAAGGTCGTGTATATACCCTTTAGCCCATGCATACCTCTCTGTCTTCATTATTCTTTTGCCACCCTCCCATCCCTCTTCTTACATATTGCCTTTCCGCATCTTGTATAGTGCCCTCCCTGTTACCCAAGTTAGCATGTACCTACCCTGTAGCCAGTGAGTTACTTCTCCCCTCTCTCCTACCCTTAGTAACCATCAAAGAATGTTTCTCTAAGTCTGAAAACCTCTTTTTAAACTTTTACAATAATGGTCTCATACAATATCTGTGATTGGTTAATTTCACTCAGCATACTGTCTTCCAGGTTTACGTAGTGTTGTTCTTCAATGTTTCATAGTATTCCATTGTATGTATGTACCAAAGTTGGTATATCCATTCTTCTGGGGGCACTTAGGCTGTCCCCATCTTTTTGCTATTGTAAATAGTGCTACAATGAACATTAGTGTGCATATATCTAATAACTTCCTGGCTTGTGTTTCTTGTGGCTATATATCAAGTAGAAAGATTGCTGGGTATTAAGGTATTTCGATTTCCAACTTTCTGAGGAAGCACTATATCTTTCTTCAGAGTGGTTGAACCATTTTACAGTCACACCAGCAATGTAGGAGGGTCCCAGTCTCTCTACACTCTTGCTGTTATTTATTTCCTATTTTAACTTCTCTGTTAATGCTGGTGTATTGAGATGGTATCTCATTGTTGTTTTGACTTGCATCGCTCTAATAGTTAATAATCGTGAACATTTCTTCATGTTAGTTAGTTTCTTCATGTCTTCTTTGATGAAGTATCTGTTCATGTCCTGTGCCCATTTTTTATTTGGGTTGCTTGTTTTTTCTTTTTGTTTAGGTGCTATAATTGAGGTGTTACAATTTTCTATAAATTTTAGATATTAGTCCCTTGTCTGATAGACATGTCATTGCAAAAATATTTTCCCCAGTCTATTGTCTATGGGTTCCCTTTTTACTCTTTTGGTGAAATCTTTTGATGCACACAAGTTTCTAATTTTTAGGAGGTTCCAGTCATTTATTTTTGTCTTCTATTGTTAGTGTGTTTTTTTGTTTTTTTTTGTAATGTTTGATACTGTATATATGCCATATATTATAGCCTCTAAGTTTGTCCCTATTTTTTTATTGATGATCTTTATAATTCTAGGCTTTACATTTAGGTATTTAATCATGTTGAGTTTGTTTTTGTATATGGTATGAGATATGGGTCTTGTTTCATTCTTCTGCAAATGGATTCCAGTATTGCTAACACTGTTTGTTGAAGAGACTATCTCTTCTCCATTAAATGTGTTTGGGTCTTTTGTCAAAGACCAACTGAAATGCATGTGGATAAATTTACTTCTGGGTTCTCAATTCTATTCCATTGATATATATGTTTCATTGTATTAGTACCAGGCTGTTTTGACCACTGTGGCTGTGTTGTAAATTTTTAGTTCAGGGAGTGAGACACCTCCAACTTTGTCCTTCTTAAGTAATGCTTTGTTTATCTGAGATCTTTTTCTTCTCTATATAAAGTTTGTGATCATTTTCTCAAACTTTTTAGAGAATGATGTTGGGACAGAGCCCTAGAGCACTAGCGCATGCGCACTATAGTGTGCATAGGCACCAGGCAAGGAGCTCTTTCCCACTCGTCTGCTCTGCCCACGTCGGCCTCCCTCCCCTCCTTTAGCTATCTTTCTGACGCCTAGAGTCTCAGCATCCTTGCAGATTCTGCGGTTATGGAGATCCCTGGGAGCCTGTGCAAGAAAGTCAAACTGAGCAATAACGCTCAGAACTGGGGAATGCAGAGAGTGACTAATGCCACCTGTCAAGTCCATCAGGTCATTAGGAACAACAGAGGCCAGGTGGTGTGGACCAGAGGTGGCTTCCGTGGTTGCACTGTTTGGCTAACAGGCTTATCTGGAGCAGGGAAGACCACAGTGAGCATGGCTTTGGAGGAGTCCTTGGTTTGCCGTGGTATTCCATGCTATACTTTGGATGGTGACAACATTCGTCAGGGTCTCAATAAAAATCTTGGGTTTAGTCCTGAAGACAGAGAAGAGAATGTCCAACTATTGCAGAAGTTGCCAGGCTGTTTGCAGATGCTGGTCTAGTGTGCATCACAAGTTTTATATCACCTTATACTCAGGATCATAACAATTCAAGGCAAATTCATGAGGATGCAAGTTTACCATTTTTTGAAGTATTTGTTGATGCTCGTCTGCATGTTTGTGAACAGAGAGATGTCCAAGGACTCTATAAAAAAGCACGGGCTGGAGAAATAAAAGGGTTCACTGGGATTGATTCTGAGTATGGAAAACCAGAGGCTCCTGAATTGGTGCTGAAAACAGACTCTTGTGATGTAAATTATGTATCCAGCTAGTTGTGGAGCTTCTACAAGAACGGGACATTGTACCTGTGGATGCCTCTTATGAAATTAAAGAACTGTATGTGCCATAAAATAAACTTCATTTGGCAAAAACAGAAGCAGAAACATTACCAGCACTGAGCATTAATAAAGTGGCTATGCAGTGGGTGTAAGCTTTGGCGGAAGGATGGGCAACGCCTCTGAACGGTTTTATGAGAGAGAGGAAGTACTTACAGTGCCTTCATTCTGATTGTCTTCTGGATGGGGGTGTTATTAACTTGTTAGTGACTGTAGTCCTGCCGGTTACCCAAAAAGATAAAGAGAGGATGGATGGATGGATGGATGGATGTACGGCGTTCGCTCTGATCTACGAGGGCCGCTGTGTGACTATTCTTCACATGCAACCCGGAGTTTTTTGAGCACAGGAAAGAATGCCGTGGTGTCAGACAGTAGGGAACAACATGCAAGAACCACTCCTACATTAAGATGGTTACGGAACAAGGAGATTGGCTGATTGGAGGAGACCTTCAAGTCCCGGACCGAATTTATTGGAATGATGGTCTTGATCAGTATGGTTTTACGCCTACTGAGCTAAAGCAGAAATTTAAAGATATGAATGCTGACGCTGTCTTTGCATTTCAATTACGGAACCCAGTGCACAATGCACACACTCTGCTAATGCAAGATACCCATAAGCAAATTCTAGAGTGAGGCTATCAGCACCCTGTTCTCCTCCTTCACCCTCTTGGTAGCTGGACAAAGGATGATGACGTCCCCCTGATGTGGCGTAAGAAGCGGCATGCTGCAGTGCTGGAGGAAGACGTCCTGAATCCTGAAACAACAGTGGTGGCCATCTTCCCGTCTCCCATGATGCATGCTGGCCCAACTGAGGTCCAGTAGCATTGCAGGGCACGGATGGTTGCAGGGGCCAATTTTTACATTGTTGGACGCAACCCTGCTGGCATACCTCTTCCAGAAACCGGGGAAGATCTTCATGAACCAACTGATGGTACCAAAGTGCTCACCCTGGTCTAATCACCTTGGAAATAGTTCCCTTTCGAGTTGCAGCTTGCAGTAAGAAGAAGAAATCTATGGACTACTATGACTC